ATCTAGTTTTGCTTTCCAAGGTACGCTGGAAACATTATTGGAATGTTCCCATTAACAACAGGAAGGAATTGGAAGTTAACAAAGGATCTGGGAAATTATGACTCAACGTAATTAATCTGATTATTGTTATAATTGGTGTCTCTGTAAAGATAATGGTGTAGAGGATCATAAAAACTATTAGTGCCACTTAATTGGCAAAGGAAAAATGGTGTGCATAGGAAGAAGTGCATTGTTAAGATTTTTAAGGATCAGGAATCTGTCTTGGATCTGATGCACTGAAGTGAACTGGAACCTACTGTAGTTTGTAGAGACAAATGAAGCAATTTATTTGAATGACAATTTCAGTTGAAATGGAACAACCTAGAACAGGTAATAGGTCAACACACAGTGGAGAAACCATTGTTTGACTTTGAAAAACCCAACAATGCCAAAACAAATGAAATTTAAAACGCTGGCTAATGTTTCTCTCTTGAAGTTCTGGATATTTTTACTTTCTTTTTTTAAATTAATTAATTTATTTATACAAGCACTGGGTACAGTCAGAAGCGCAGGAGGGTGAGATAATTCACCAGAGACAGAGTGGGGAGCAGAACAGGCAAAAGGTCCGAGGTACACTGCGGAGGGGAGCAGGGAGCGCGGCAGGAGAGGTCTGAGTACCTGTGGGACCCTCGCTGGAGGCCGGGGATGGAACTGGCACTGCAGAGGCTGCGGGCAGCTTTGCAGCCCAGCGCTCTAACGCTGTGTCACCGGGGAGGCCCTATTTTCACTTTCTTATAAAGAGAAGGGTCACACAAGAATAAAGGAGTAACAGCTAATTTTTGCCCCAAAATTTCCCTAAAAGACATTAATATATTTGCAATTTAAAAAGAAGGTTTAGGCTGCTTTATGCTGAGTGGGCTAGATGAAAATAAGAGTGGAAGTGGGAGTACCAGTCCTCCAGGCAATAAATAATGGAGGAAAGTAGATGAATTTGAGAGAGCTTTATAAACAATAGGATTTGGCAATAAACTGTGTGTCAAAGGTAAAGAAAGGGGAGTCAAAAATCATTGTGAATTGTGTTTTAGAGTTTCCACAAAGGCCTGAATTACATGTAAGTGGAAAACCTTCAGGCTTCAATTTGGAGCTCGTACAGGTACCATACAGTAAGAAAATCAAGTCGATGACCTGCCCAGTCCCTGGGTTACAAGTCTCACTGAGTGCAAGGATGGGTATCCACTTTAACCATCTTCCAATCTAGATTATTTTATTCACTGTAGCTGTCAAACTTGATGTGCATTAGGCATGCCTTTACAAGGTACACTGGAACCGATGGGGAAATGAGTCTACCTAGCTACCTACCTATAAGTAAATTCAAGCAGAAGTAACTGAACTGAGCTCAAGTTGTCAACTGGAGCCACTCTCAAACTTTAAATACCTGTGAGTTTTTGGCTTGAGCTTTTGACTAGGTATGGTTTGGGGGAAGAAAGAGAAGGAGGACCAGGCTTTTCATTTTGTCATCATGATTCCAGTAGTTGGATATAGTTCCAGCTTAGGTATGATTGAAATTATAGTCACCTTGACATTTCAAATGGCAACAGAACTAGATGGTTGCATATATGGGTTCAGATCCCAGAAGAAAAATGTGGGCTACAAATAAAAATGTGAGAATCTTTAGCCAAACAGACAGAAACTGAAAGTATGGGCATGAATTCAATCACCTAGGGAGAGAGAACAGTTAGAGAAGAGGGTCAAGAACAAAAAACTGAGGGGCCTCCCTGGTGACCTAGGGGTTAAGTCTCAGTGCTATCACCACCACAGTCTGAGCTTGATTCTGGGCCAGGGAGCTAACCCACATATGGTACAGCGGACCTCTCCTGTCTCCACCACTGCTCCCCTCAGCAGTGTATTTCAGTAAACCCACCTGTTCTGCTCCCCTCTCTGCCTCTGGTGAATCCTCTCACTTCCCCGAACCCCAGGCCTATACCCCAGTTCTTCTATGTATAAATAAACAAATAAATCTTAAAAAAAAAAAAAGCACTGAGAAAAACACCTCTTCCTGGAGGACAGTGAGGAAGCTGAGAAGACAGAAGCATATAACAGAACAGGTAAGCAAAACATAGTTCTGAATACCCAGAGGAATGGTGTTTCAAGGAGAGGGAGATCAACAGTGTCAAATGCTACATAGAGTAAGGTAAAATGAAAATTATTCACAGATTTCAGCAATCAAAGACCAGCTTTCAGAAGGTTAACCTTGCAGGCATGGCGAGAGATAAAGGAAATATTCTAGGAAGCCAGAAAGAAGACAGAGCAAAGTAATAATAGCATATATTTCAACTATGACTCAAATTTAAATCCACAAGCATTTGTTGACCACGTGAAGAGCACAAGGCAAGGAACAGAGAACTGAGAAATATTTAGGAAACAGTCCTTCCCTTCAAGGTGCTCAAAGTTTAATTAGGGGGGAGAGAGGTAATGAATAATTATACATTTAGATAGTACAATAATCAATGTATTAGATTTAGTGGTCACATACAGGTGGGAGTGGAGTGTTTCTTTGGAAGAAAATCAGGGAAGACAGTAAAAATGATATTTGAACTGAATTATGAATTCTTAAGTATTTGCTAGGATGATTATGAGAAAGGCATCTCAGAAAGAGAAAAAAGCCTAGTGTTTTTGGAAAGTGGTAATTTTCCTTTAAACAGCTTGCTTTCTAGGGCCTCCCTGGTGGCTCAGGTGGTTGAGCACAGCGCTGTGAAGCTGTCCGGAGCCTCTGCAGTGCAGGTTCGATCCCAGTAGGCAGGGGAGATGCCCACGTGGTGCAGCAGACCTCTCCTGTCTCGCCTGCTGCTCCCCTCAGCAGTGAATTTCAGTGTGCTGTTCTGTTCCCGGCTCTATCTCTGGTGAATCCTCTCACCCTCCCGCACATCTGGCCTGTACCCCGGTTCTTGTATAAATAAATAAATCTTAAAAAAAAAAAAAAAAAAGGTTGGTTTCTAGGAATCACATGTCCTGCCTCCAACATCCAAAGTCCTGTGACTTAGGGTAATCATTATGCCTTCTCAAAGCCTTGAATTCTTCATCTGCACAATGAAGGGTGCTAATTCCAATCTCCAAGGATTTTAAGGAGGCTTAAAAGCTGTGAAGCACTGACTTCGGCAGCTATTACACAGCAAATCTCAATAGTGGCCAACTCTTGTTATTACTGCAGGATGTAAAATGCAAAAAGGGTGTTACAGAGGTCTGAAGCTCAAGAAAGTAATCAGCAACCAGATCAGGACAGATTTGTCAGAAAAGTCAGTCTTGTTCCCAGCATTAATTAAAACAAACCAGTACAATTATTAGAAAACAAACTTAAGTCAAGCTTAATGTTACTAAAAAGAAAGTCTTCAGGAAGCATCTTAATTATAATCTCCTGCCCTGCTGATGAAGCCTGAGGCAACACCTATGTACAAGAGTCTCACAGGCTACTAATTAGGAGGCTGACATTGTTAAACTTTAATTGTGCAATTTGCAAATAGTTTTATATTGCAATGTCTTGTAATACAATTTCCACTAAGATTGTTGCTAAACTTTGGTTTTCCAGTAATTTTTCTTTATGTAATTTGGTATGCTTTTAATGAACAGGTAGTATAATAAAGCTGATTTCAGGAGGAAAGCTATTCTACCTTTACCACTGGAAACAAAACACAACAGAATGAACAGATCACTTAGTGTAGATGACCTTGAAAAGGTATTTTAAAGACAGAATTAGAAGTCACAAAAGAAACAGATCTAAGGAAATTTGCATGGGAACTGGGACCTCCATCCTTTCATCAGTTTGCCTGGAGAATGGTTTTAGTCCAGAAAAGTCAATTATTTTTCTTTTAGACTTTTATCTTGAGAAAGCCTTTTCCCATTCTCTTTAGAAGAGTTGAACTCATTTAAGTGAACAACAATTCCTCTGTGAAAGTAATATTTTTGCCTTGAAAAAATTATTCTGGGTCACTATTGCCTGGAGCACTTAATTTAACCTGAGTGTTTTTCAAGTTAAAAACATCCTGATATCTTCATTTGGGGATTTTCCATTCTTAATGAATCCAGGGGTATAATCTTTCAAGCAGAATTGTTAATGCATTTTGTGCATTTGATACGGTCAGGTCAGTACTGTTAACACAGTTTTTGACATTTGGTATGGAGTGATTTGTGTTACGTTCCGGGCGTGTGCCTCAGTTTCCCTAATCATTCTTTGATGGACTGAGTCTATAGATTATACCTCATTTATATATTACATATGTATTATTTCCTTGGGTGGATTCATCAAATGTTTAATATTAAGTTCATCAGGTGCATTTCTTGCAGTTGACTAATTTCTCAGAGAAGGCGCTCCTGAACCCCTGCCAGCACTGTAGGTCTCATCTTTAGGCCTGCAGAAGCGTAATAAGCACATAGAGCCGACCTAAGAGTTTGGGGCACACTCTTTCACTCAGTAGCTTTGGATTTCTGGGCTCCCCGCCGGAGGGGGGAAAAAAAATCTACACTGTAACCCAAAGAACACTCGTGTACATGACTGAATTAAAAAAAAAATTACAACAGAATACTTTGACTGAGGACTCCCTGAAACTACTGACTCCTTCATAGCAAAGAACGGCACCACTGCCGGCTTGAAAACCAATTAATGGGATTTTACGAAGCACTAGTGGGCCCTTAAAAAGGCAGATTGAACTCACTCCTCTCAACAGCCTCGGCTGCTGCTCCTTCCGTCACAGCCCTTCGGAAAGGCAGCCCTGGCAGCTGGGAAGGCGTCGGCCGGCGGAGAAAACCCAGGGCCGCCCAAGCGCTTAGCCTCGGGAGGACAGAGCGAGATGGCTCGGGGCAAGAGCCGGGGTCAAACCCTCTGAACGCGCTCGGTGAAAGATGCAGGGCTCGACCCACTGCCCTGTCCTGCGGCATCCCAGAAGCCCGCCCCGCCCTCTTCACCTTTTCCCGGTGAATTTAATCTCTCCCCGACCAGTGGGCCGAGCGCCGAATGATCGATGCTTCCTCCACGCCCCGAGAGCCGCCATCTTGGGGGGGCGGAGACAGCCCTGTAGGGGCCGCCGAAACTCTACGAGATGTTGGCTGGCTTGGGCTTTTCTGGCCAGCGCTGTGGGACCGAGGCCGAAGAACCCACCGGGGTAGCTCCTCCGGCTGCCTCTCCGGAATGAGGCCTCAGCGCCCGCGCGGGACGGCACCCCTTCTCCTCAGAGCGTGAGTGGCGAAGTCGGCGCGGCCGCAGCTCCCGCGCGCGCTCGGCTGTCAGTTAGCCCGCGCGTGCCCGACGGCGCGCCCCTCCCGCGCGCGCCCTCCCCCGCCCCGCTCGGCGCAGGGCGCTGGGCGCAGACGCGCTTGTTTGTTTCTGCAGAAGCCGGAGGAGAGACCGGAGCCGAGACCATGCCGGGGAAGCTGAAGGTGAAAATCGTGGCCGGGCGCCATTTGCCGGTGATGGACCGAGCTAGTGACCTGACTGATGCCTTCGTGGAGGTTGGTGTCAGGTGCTGCCCCCCTGCACCCACGCGGGGCGCGCAGCCGGGTGAAGGATCCTCCCCACCTGGCCCCCGCCCCTCCGCGCGTTGCCGGCTCGGCCGCCCCCGGTGCGCGGCGCTCCCTGGAGGGTGCCTGCCTGACGCCGGCCGAGGGATGGGCGCCCCGCTCGCGGGCGGCCCCGCGTGCCCGCCGCGGTGACCCTGCTGTCAGGGCTGCGAGGGGCCACCTGCCAGCGAGGACATCCCCAGGCGTGGCACACGCGCGCGCGCTCCCTCCCTGGGGGCCGCGCAGCTCCTCATCCCAGAGCGCTGGAGAGGATGTTTAAGGCTGTGGACACCCGCAGTCCGTTATGGACACCGGGAGACCTACCCGGCCGGGACCGCCACTCTGTAGCATCACGTTTTCTGAATCATCAGTGCAAGTTCCAAAACACAGCGGTAACACTTTCTGTGCCTGTGTAGACTGGTGAGCCGGTCGAGTTGTTGCACGGTAATTGAGCGCCTTGAGGTAGGAAGCCAATTAAATGCCTTGGATTTAAATGGCGAAATTGCTTCTTGGATCTAATGATTAGTTTATAACTCATGCAAATTAGCACAGGCCTAGGGCCCGGAAAGTAATAACCTGGAGTCTGAAAGAAGCCAAGTGAAAACTGTAATGAAAATTGACATGATGAGGAGCCTGAGTATTAAAACTATAATACGGGCGTTTCATGCTTAGGGGTGAGAGATACGTGAGAATATACAGCCTGATGTTCGCTCAATATAAAATATTCTTGATACTCCCTAAAGGTTGTCTAACCTAATAACTTCAGCGCCCCCCCCCCCCAATATTGGCTTGGTAATTCTGAATCCAACTTCATTTTCATTTGAAAAAGTTACTAAGTCTTTTTTGGGGGTAGATATTAGGAAATGGGAATATAGAGAGTACCAAAGCAAATGGTCTTTGCTTTCAAGTAGTCAGAGAATGATCCACATAGTTTAGGTTAATAGCACATAGCTAACGTGTATTGAGTCCCATTATTATAGTTCTCTGCTAAGTACTTCTCAATTCTTAAGCCTCAGGATAGTCTTGCTATTCTTTTTTTTTTTTTTAATTCCATATTACAGGTGAGGTAATTGAGGACTCAGGACTGTAAATAATTTGTTTACAGTTACTTAACCTTGTAAATCTCCATTAACTGGTGGTCTCTTTCCTATTACTAACTTTCCTGACAAGATAATCAGTGTTGTTTTAGAAATTAATTTTAGAAATTATTTCTGACTTCTGAAGGTTTAGGAAGTCTTCCTAAGAAAGTGGCAGTTGAGGTAGATCTTGAAGGATACCCAGGATTTTCTTAGAGGGAACATCAAAGGCAAAGAAGGGGGACAGAGTATGATCAGGGAGTCATCTGAGTTTGGGTTGTGCTGGGAGTATAAGAAGATAGGTATGTAGAGGAGGTTGTGGGGGTAGAGACTAGAGAGTAGGTTGAACCCAGACCCTATTTTCTATATTAAAGTTTCCCTTTATCCTGTGAGCAGGGACTAGCCAGGGGAGCTTTTCAAGCAGAAATGAAATAAGATCATGTTTGTATTAGATTGTTTTTTATAGCATGGCATCAATGGTGAAGGACTGGACAGTGAGAGAATAGGCAGGCAGAGCAATTAGGAAGGTGGTTAATTTGTGCACTTGGAACAGTAGCGCTTGGGACGGATTAGAGGAGGAAGGTTTGAGGAATGTTTCTTAGCTAAAATTGTCAGGTTCTGGTGACCAGTGGTTTTTGCTGGTGAGTCACATTCAGGGTGACTCATTTACTGAGTGTTCACTGTTTGCCATGCCACTGGTCTAGCCGATGACTATGATGGTGAACAAAATAAGCTTGGTTTTTGCTTTTATAGAGCCTACATTTTTTTTTAAAAAGGTTTATTTATGCATACAAGAGCTGTGGGGCAGGCCTGGAGATGCGGGGTGTGAGAGGATTCACCGGAGACAGAGTGGAGAGCAAAACAGGCAGATCCACTGAAATACACTGCTGAAGGGAGCGACGGGCGAGACAGGAGAGGTCTGCAGCACCATGTATGTGGGTCACTTCCCTGGCCAGGAATCAAACCTGCTGCAGTGGCTACAGACAGCTTCATAGTTGCGTCTTAACCTCTTGCGCCACAGGGAGCCCCCTAGAGCTTACATTTTGATGAGAGAGATAAACATTAAAAATAATTACTGTATGTATGATCACAACTTGTGATGTGAACAACAGAACAACAGAAAGAGACTAAAAGGGAACTGCTGGGTGGAGCAGTCAGGAGGATTCTGAGGAAGTATCAATTAAGTGAAGACTTACTGGATGAGAAGGAGCCTGTTCTGGGATATATGAGTGTGTGCAGGAGGGACAGAAAAGAGGCTAGGAAGGAAGATGGCTTAACTGGCATGTAGTGAGTGAAGACCAGAATGGTATAAGATGAAGATGAGAGATGGTCAAGGAGCTCTCTTTAACTTCATGCCAAACGCATTGAAGGCCCATCTGAGAGGCCAAACCAGACAGTCTTCCTCTGTATGAGGTGAAGTCATGCCTACATGACTTCATGGGGTAGTACCTGAGGGGCATGATCTGGAGTGGTTGTATTTTACATCAGTGGTAAACAGTTGTTAAGATGAACACTTTTGGTCTGTCTGGAGAATGGACTGAAGGGGAAAGAGATGAAGCAGGCAGCTAGGTAGGATATTCTGTTAAAGTTCAAAAAAAGAGATAGTAAGGGCCAAGGTGATAGTTTCGGTAGTGAAGAGAAGTGGGTGATTCCAGATATACTTAGAAGATAGACTCTAGAAGATTTCTTGGTAGATTGGAGGAGGCGACCAGAAAATGGGAGACTAAAAGATGACTCCTAGCTCTCTGGATTCATTGAGGTAATTTTCTGAAATTCCCATGCTGTTGATAGAGATTCATTGATTGATAGATGGAAAATCATATTTGGGCATGTTAGGTTGAAAATGTCCTTAGAACCTTTAAGTGGTGTTGTCAAGGAAGAAGTTGGATTCGTGAGTTTGGTATTCAGAAGAGAGGCTGAGTTATAAATAAACTCACATAGCTCAGTGTTTCTCAGCTCTGAGACCCAATATCCCTGTCATATAACAGTTATTGCTTTCCTGGCATGATATTCATAGATAATATAACCTGTTTAGCCTCACAATTACAAAAAACCTCAGTGTAATTCTCTAAGTGTAGTACAACAGAGAAGAATAAAATTGTTCTTAAATATTTATTTCAATGGAAGTACTTGTTCATGATCCTAGTAGAAGATATGAAGTAATCAGATTGAGTTCATGCCTATTTATTGAGCCTCTGTTTACATCAAACCCTAGTATAGTATGTTGGGGACACAGAAATGAATAAAACAAAAATTGCTTTAATCATGAAACTTACGTTTTGTGGAAGGAGGAAGTTCATAAAGAAGGTAAGGATGAAGTATGCTAGTACCACATGTGGAGAAAATAAAGAAGGATGCAGGATTGGTAGCGCCTCCTTTGTGTGTAAAATCCCATAAACATGACTTCACCTCATATAGAGGGAGACTGGGTGATTTTGGCATCTCAGATGGGCCTTCATGGCTCTTGGCTGTGTGATTTTTCCAAAATGGTCAACTCACGCCTCCCTGATGGCACAAGGGGTTAAGATGCAACCTATGAAGCAATCCACAGCCACTGCAGCACGAGTTTGATCCCTGGCCAGGGAGCTACCCACATAGTGCAGCAGACCTCTCCTGTCTCTCCCACTGCTCTCCTCAGCAGTGTATATTCAGTCAGTCTGCCTGTTCTGTTCCTCACTCTGTCTCTAGTGAATCCTCTCACCCCCCATGCCTCTGGCCTGTACCCTAGTTCTTGTATGCATAAATAAATAAATCTTTAAAAAAAAGGGTCAACTCTTGGGGAAAAACTGTTGTTTCTTAATTTATATTTTGCTTGTATTTCTTATATTTCTTGAAATCCCATCACTTTTACCTGTAAACTGAATTAAGTTCTAGGTAGGCTTTTTTTATCCATGTAATTATCTAGTGGGACATTGGAAAGTCATGGCGTAAAATATGTGTTCTTTGTTGGGGGTTGTCTCTTGTATTGCAGGACACCTAGCATCTTTGGCCCTTCTAAACTAAATACTACTACTATTCTCTGCTCTGTCCCCCACCCCCCAAAAAGCACCCCTAGAAATTTCTGAAAGCTTTTATGAGTTGGTTCTGTCTCATTTGCAAACCTCTGACTAGGGGGAGAGAAATGATGGATCCTTGAAAAACTCAACACTAAGGGTTCTATTCGAGGAGGAGAAGTAGGGGAAGGAAACTGAGATTGTCAGCCAGTGAATGGGGAGAAAAATCAGGAAAGTTATACCTCAGAAAGCACGAGAAGTTTCTAGAAAGAGGAGTCCCTCATCTGTCAAATGGCACTGAGAGGTCGAACAAGAGGATAGAGAAATGACTGGATTGGACAACTTGGAGGTTGTTACTGATCCTAACAAGAGATGTGACAAGGAGGGAAGCCCATTCTGTAGTGAATTGAAGTGGTTAAAATGCATGGAAGGTGAAGGAGAAATGGCATGAATAGGGACAATTTTAAAGAAATATGGCTATAAAGGGTAGAGGAGAAATAGTGTATTTGGGGAGAATGTAGCTCTTACTACTTAGAAAAGGAACTTAGAAGATACCAGAACCTATTTGTGTGCTAATAGGAATAATCCAGCAGAAAGGGAAAGATTAATGCAGGAAAAGGGGGATAATAAAGGATTAGAGTCTAATAAAGGGCCCAGTTGTGTGATGAGGCTGTTAGTACTGCGTAAGCTCTAAGAGAGAGAGATAATGAAGGCTGGGCTGGCTGTGAAAAATTTTTGTGCTGAGCTTGAAGGTTAGTAAAATTTCCATAGACAGAGAGGGAAAAGGAGCATTTTTCAGCTGAAACAGGACAAACTTGGTAAAAAGCAGAAAGAGAAATAGAGCTCTACATTCCTCCTGTGACTGCTGCTTGAGTCTCCTACATCGTTTGTTCTGCATCCAGCCTGTGTGCCTGCTTCTTTCATCAGTTGACTGATATACTGTACCAGGAGGCGCTTGTGCTAATTCTCAAATCTGTTGATGCCAAATCTATTTTTTAATTGTAATTGATTTAAATCCTATAAATTGTTGAAATAGTTTGAAATGATGTTGATAATAATATTTAAAGAATTATAGATATAGTCATAAAGATTTACTCTTAATTAGATGAAGAAAAGATTGTGTGAATCTAGGATGCTATGTTCATATTTTTTGCAAGCAATTTTACGTCTACACCCAGTAAACCCAAAATGGAAATCATAGAATGATACATTTAGACCGTGCAGATGTCTAAATGATGGACCCTTATTCAAAGGAGAGACTTTAGTCTTACATTCACAAGTAGAGGAATGAGCATGTATGTTTTATCTTAAACTGTTTACCATTTACATCATTTTTAATGATTCTCTGATTTAACTAAATTACTTAGTTAACTGATCAAAATCTGGTCCTGACTGCACTGAATGAAGAAATTCCTGATATATATGATCTGAGGAACTTAGGAAGCTGGTGAATACCAAGAAGTATTTAAAGATTATTCCTCCTTTTTTTTTTAATTGCGGTAATGTTGGTGATTCACACCTATTCAGATATGTATTACTATACCACGCCCACCATCAAAGCACCCATAATCCTCTACGAATAGATAATTCTGGTAGGAATCTCCAGTAGGAATAAGTTCTGTATAAGGGACATGTTCATGGAAATATATCCTACTATTAATTTGCATGTTATACACTGTTTGGTAAACTACATTATCATTTCTTTGAGGGAGCAGGGAGAGGAAAATAAATATTTAATGAGTATTTTCTATATAGTAGATATTTTGCTAGGTCTCTACATGCATTATCTCACGTAATGAGGAGGAAGCAGCCTTTAAATAACAGGTTAAATAACTTTCTCAAGGTAATTTAACTAATGAGTGGGGAAGCGAATGCTTTTACTTTATAGGGAATCTCATTAAAATCCCTGATGTTCTTAACAAAGTTGTAAGGCATTCATTTAATTGCTGAGCAGTACAATCTCCTTGGAATTAAATAAGAGCAGATGAACTGTGATTCTTTAGTAGAAGGGAATCATCACAGTGTTGGCAAAATATATACTCTACTCTTTTTCTAAGATCTTGTTTTTTGTTTATGTCTTTGTTTATTGTACTTCAGCTGATCTTTACTATATGTGGAATGGACAGCTGACCAAAAAAAGAATGAAAGGCGTAGGAAAGCACTGTAGTATCGTGGGACACAGCTTAAGAGGATTCTGAACTCCTGACTGGAAAACAATATGCTATTTTTGGCAGTTGAACCAAAACCCTTAAGTCCATTTGACCTTTGAGTGGTTTTGTAAATGCTAACAACATTTTACTTCATATTATTCAATTTTTAGGAAAATTAAACAATAAGTATTTCCTTGACTATTGAAAGATAATGAAAATTAAATTATTAACTGAAGAGTAACCTCTTTTCTTTCCAGGTTTGTTTTTCTTATTAAGTTTCATTTTTTAAACAGTTATTTAAAATAAAAAAAAAAGACTCAAGTGTAATGCATGAACAGCTATTACAAAGGATTTATATGACTCAGAAGTAACACTCGAAAGCCTCTTTTCTCACTATTCTGAACTGTATTCCCTACACCCCATCTGTCCCTATTCAGAGATAATTGCTGCATTCTTTGGCTTATTTTCATCTATTCCCCAGTATCCTCCTTAAAAAAAAAAAAACACAAAACTTTTATATTTCATCTTTTAAAAACAAATATGATATGTATGTATAATACACCTGATTTTATAATATTCCACTACTTGGTTTCGTTTTCAGTTATTATATCATTGACATTTTCCGTGACAGTCCCACTGTCATCCACTCCATTTTTTGGTAGCGATGCCTGTGATTTACTAAGCAACTATCCTGTTGAACAGCTGTTTACACTTTTATGTAGTTTTGGGGGAGGGGCCTTAATGTGCAAGGACTTCTTTACAAGAAATGTTTGTAAGTGGATCCAGAATTCTGTAAGTTGAGTCAAAATAGCTATTGCCGTTTGAATTTAATTTTAGTATTTGATGTTTTTGGATTTAAAATAATGCATTTAAAAATAAGTAATATCTGTACATGGTTCAAAAATCAAAAGGTTTCATGAAATGAATCAGCCTCACTTTCATTTTTTGTATATCCTTCTAGAAATGATCTGTGCATCTAAAGGCATATATTGTATGACTCATAACATTTTGCCATTTTCTTCCCCTCCAAAGAATGCCATACTCACTATTGTGCAGTAGAAAAATACATCTTCTTTGACATTGTTTTGTACCACTGCTGCATTCATTTATTTAGCCGCAACATATGACATTACTATGCGTAACTTAACCAGTTCCAAATTGGTGGGTCTCTAGGATCTTTCCAGTTTTGGGCTACTGTAATGTTGCTTATTAATACCATTGCATACCTCTGTATGAACTTCCAAGGCCTTGGCCTCTCCACTCCCATGGAGATCATTCTGCTCCATACTCCTGGCAACAAAGTGGGAAGATGCTTCACCAACACTGTTTTCAGACTTTTTCATCTTTGCCAACCTGATAATAAAAATGTTTATTTTGCATTTCTCTTACTAGAATGAAATCAGTCATCTTTTCTAGATTTAAAAGACATCTATATTTCCATTTATTCACGTTGTCAATTTGTGTCCTTTGACCATAGGGTCTTGTTCTTTTAATATTGCTTTGTAGGAACTCATTCAATATTAAAGAAAATAACTCTTAGTGACATATTTGGCAAATACTTTTTCTTTGTTTATTTTTGAGTTTATCATTCTTTGCCATGAAAGAAGTTATTATTTTAATGTAATTTTTTAAACCATTTTATCCTCTAACCAAACTTCCTAGGAATGGTGGTACCATGTCTGATAATGCAAACTAAATTGGTCAAATAACTAGCAAAATATACAGAAGATTTAAAATAGTTTTAGTTTGGGATATTTTTACTTTTAGAAAAGTTCCTGCACTTGTAATACCAAAAGGAGGGCTGTAGATCAAAAAGGGAAGAGGATTTAATATTTAACTGATTATATCTACAGTGTACAGAGCTCTGTGCTGGGATCAGCAGAAGGGGCTAACTTTTAGTGATTTTTTTAGATTAGGAAAGAAATTTATTAGTGATAACTGATAGAATTGGGAAGAGCTTGAAGAGATCAAAATGAGGAAAGGTGAGACAACCTAGGAAGTACCTGCCTGTTTTTCTCTTCTCGAGTCCAGTCTGAGGTTTCATAATTTCCATTCTTTATTGAAAGCAAGTCCCAGAGATTTAGCTTGTTTGTGCCTCCTTCATTTTATTCTCCTTATTTTTGGATCCTTGTGATTTATTGTCTGTCCAGATTGGCTATGAAATAAGATAGTCTCCCATTCAAGCCTTTTCATGATCCCTGAAGGTAGAAGCTTAAAGTCTTTAATTGGGGCCTCCCCAGTGGCGCAGCGGTTGAGCGCTGGGTTGCGAAGCTGCCCGCAGTAGCCTCTGTGACGCCGGTTCGATCCCCGGCTGCTCCCCGGCCACCTGAGGAGGGTCCCGCATGGCGCGCAGACCTCTCCTGCTGCCCGCTGCTCCCCTCAGCAGTGTACCTCGGTCCTTCTGCCTGTTCTGCTCCCTGCTCTGGCTCTGGTGAATTCTCTCACCCTCCCGCGCTTCTGACTGTACCCAGTGCTTGTATGAATAAATAAATAAATCTTAAAAAAAAAATAAAGTCTTTAATTGTAATAGTTTATTACTGGTCATTGTATGTGTGCAGATAAGGGATTAAAAAATAACCAATAGGGAGAAGTTAAAAATATAAGGCTCTTGGGCCTCTGCGGTGGCACAGTGGTTGAGCGCTGGGCTGCGAAGGCCTCCCCCCCCAACCCCCACAGCCTCTGCAGCATGAGTTCTATCCCCAGATTCCCACATGGCGCAGCAGACATCTCCTATCTTGCCCGCTGCTCCCCTCAGCAGTGTACTTCATCAGTCTGCCTGTTCTGTTCCCTGCTCTGTCTCTGGTGAATTCTCTCACCCTCTCACACTTCTGACTGTACCCAGTGCTTATATAAATAAATAAATCTTAAAAAATAATATAAGGCTCTTACTACTAAATTCTTATAATAATGGACTGTACTTCTGGACTCTTGCTGAGATGGTGGAAGGAGAATCAAATCAATTGGCCTTTTTACCTTCTGATTTTGTTTCTGCTGGCTTCCTCTCTCAAGACTTTGTTTGGGATAATGTTAGGAGTCCTTCCTCTATACCGACATAATGATCTGTATTTCTAACTTCCTTAGAGAGCTGATCAAGCAGAGCAGGGCAATCACTTGTTCCATGTTTGGTCTTTAACTGATCTGGATCCATTCATACTTTTTCTCTTTTGTCTCAGGGGATAGTTTTCTTTTTCCCCCCTCCATAGTTTATCCTCCTATTGCTTGGTTGTTATTAAAATTTACTTTATTTTTTTTTTTTTACATTTGTATTCAAATCATTTCTTATTTGTTTCTAGGTAAAATTTGGTAATACCACCTTTAAAACAGATGTATATCTCAAGTCCCTCAACCCTCAGTGGAACTCAGAATGGTTTAAATTTGAGGTAAGTTTTTTTTAAATGTTAGCGTTTTTGAGTTTTATGGGGTTTTTTTTGAGGTACCCTTTCCCCCCAGAGATAATTGAAGTACCTTTTATTTCAGGTGTAGTAGTTCCTTTATACCATAAAAATACTTCCTTTTCTGCTGAAGTGGGAATATTAAGAAAAGTGGGTTACAATTAAGAAAATAGAGTATATGAATTTGAGAACACATAAAGAGATAAAATCCTTCAAAGGATTCCTTATTGTAATTTCCTCTGGATTTTGGCATACATAAAAAATCATATTTATTTGATGTATAATATTGTAAGAATAATGTAAAGACTAAAAAACTTTAATTGCGGTAAAAAGTATATCACAAATATTGCTGTATTTTAACCATTTTTAGGTATATAGTTCAGAAGCATTCATTATGTTCACGAGGTTGGGTAACCATCACCACTACTTCCAAAACTTTTTCATCACTGAACAAAAACTATACTCATTCAACTCCTTAATCTCTCTGTCCAGCTGCTGGTAACCTCTGATCTATTATTTGTCTCTTTGAATTTACCTGTGCTAGATACTTCTTGTAGGTGGAATCATACAATATTTGTCTTCTATCTGGCTTCTTCCACTGAGCATCATGTTTTCAAGGTTCATCCATGTTGTAGCCTTTATCAGAATTTCATGCCTTTCATACCTGAATACTAATCCACTGTTGTCTATGTGACACATTTTGTCATCCATTTATTTGCTGATGAACTCTTGGGTTGTTTTCCGCCTTTTGGCTATTGTGAATAATGCAGCAGTGAACATTTATTTACACATATCTGTTCGAATCCCTGTTTTCAGTTTTTTTATTTTTCCAAAAATGGAATCACTGGGTCATGTGTTAAGTTCTGTATTAGTTTTTTGAAGAATCATCATACCGCTTTCCATCGTCGCTGTCCCTCTTTACACACTCCTACCAGCATGAATAAGGGTTTCAGTTTTTCTGCATTTTTGTTGACACTTAAAAAAAAACGATCATAGGGCCTCCCCGGTGGCGCAGCGGTTGAGCGCTGGGTTGCGAAGCTGCCCGCAGCCTCTGTGGCGCCGGTTCGATCCCCGGCTGCTCCCCGGCCACCTGAGGAGGGTCCCACATGGTGCGCAGACCTCTCCTGCCGCCCGCTGCTCCCCTCAGCAGTGTACTTCGGTCCTTCTGCCTGCTCTGCTCCCCGCTCTGGCTCTGGTGAATTCTCTCACCCTCCCGCGCTTCTGACTATACCCAGTGAATGTATAAACAAAACAAACAAACAAACAAATAAATAAATAAGTAAAACATGCCTCTATTAAAAAAAAAAAAAAGATCATAGCCATCCTACTAGGTCTGAAGTGATGTTTATAGTATAATTTGAATATGCATTTTTATTGTGATTGAAGTTACATACGGTTTCTTATGACTGAGGACCATTCCTTTTACTTTAAACTATCTCCTTATAATTTAACCTCCAAAGAAAATACTTAGAGACAGTATTATAGAGGTAGACATCAGAGGACTTGGTGATAAGCTTAACATGAAGAATGTAGATGCACAGTTGTATCTTACTGGTTTTGATTTGTGTTTCTCTAATGAGTAATAGTGTTGAGAATCTTTTCATGTGCTTATTGGACATATGTATGTCTTTTTTGGAAAACTGTCTTTTCAAGACCTTTGCCCGTTTTTAAGTTTGGTTGTTTATCTTTTTGTTATTGAGTTGTAAACGTTCTTTTTATATTCTGAATAATAAACCTTTATTGGGTATATGTTTAGCAAATACTTTCTTTTAACTCTTTTGATAGTTCCTTTGATGTATAAAATTTTAAAATTGTATGTGGTGTTGGTGGTATAGTGGTGAACATAGCTGCCTTCTAAAATTTTAAAATTGTGCTAAAGTTCAATTTATCTGTCTTTCTTGTTACTAATGGTGGTGGTGTCAATCAGAGAATCCATTGCCAAATCTGACATCATGACAGTTTATACCTATGTTTTCTTCTTAGCTCTTATATGTAGGATTATTGATTCATTTTGAATTAATTTTCATAGTAGATAAAGTTAAGTTTTCAACTTTATTCTTTTGCATGTGGATATCCATTTGTTTCAGTACCATTTATTGAAGAGACTGTTCTTTCCCTATTGAATGGTCTTGGTATTTCTTGTCAAAAGTGAGTAGGATAGGGCCTCCGTGGTGGCACAAGGGGTTAAGCACTGCACTATGAAGCAATCCGCAGACTCTGCAGCGCGAGTTCGATTCCCGGCCAGCCAGGGAACAACCCACATGGCGCAGCAGACCTCTCCTGTCTTGCCCACTGCTCCCCTCAGCAGTGTATTTCAGTTACTCTGCCTGTTCTGTTCCCCTCTCTGTCTCTGGTGAATCCTCTCACCCCCGCATCTCTGGCCTATACCCCAGGTCTTGTATGCATAAATAAATAAATCTTTAAAAAAAAAAAATCAGTAGGATAGATGAATGGTTTGGTTTCTGGATTCTTAAGTTCTGTTCCATTAGTCTGTATTTGTGGAATTTATGCCATTACCATGCTTTTTATCATTATAACTTTATAGTAAGTTTTGAAATCAGGAATTGAGAATTCTCCAACGTTGTTCTTTTGTCTTGATTTTTTTTTGTCTTGTAGCATTTTGATTCCCTTCTTCTTTTCTTTTGTGTAAATGTATGGCTGTTCGTTTAGTTGTTTCCAAAATAACATTGTATATTTTGGAAGACCCACTATCGTGCATGCATTAAATCCATATTATTTAAAATACATCATTAAGGTAAAAATATGGAATATATGAGTCAGTAAAAGTAGAATAATTTGTTTAAATTATTTCAGGTGGAATTAGAATTATAAATTGCAACTTCATTATCCTAGCAAAATATTTAAATACTTGTATAATTTTATTTTGATGGATTTTCCCTTTTTCTGCAACCTAAAAATGGTTAAAAACAAGCAGTCTTGGTCACCATTGTTATTGGAAGGTAGGAAGGAGGTGAACTTTATATGTTAGAAATTTTCATATTAGGACATTAATATTTAAGAACATGCACAAAATAGATTAATATGTTGAACTACCTGGCCATCACCTATCTTTACCTCTGCCTGCCAAAGTTGTCTACATTCTGCTGTCCTTGTTTTTTCAGGAGCCTGAACTGAGAGGACATGCAGCGAAAGATTCCTTCATGAAAGACACATTCATGACTTTGACAGGTAGTCCGTAGGTACCATGCCATTCTCCAATTTGCTGGTAGTCCTCATCAAATACAGTGGTTCTACTGAACACAATGTTATAGAGAGTAGTAAGACTAGAACAGAATACACAACAGAAAATTTTATTTCCTGTAGTCAAAACAGAAAATATTTTAAGAGATATTTGAAGGCAAATTCTGGATACTGTGTAATTTCATCCATAAATTTTTAATTATATCACTGTTATAGAGAAGAGCCCCTTCTTAAAAACAAATCTTTTTTTTATGTTAATCACTGATATCAATAGTAACTCTTTCATGTATTTTGACTTTTTAAATAATCTTCAGCAACTGGACTATTAGCCTAAGATCAACAAGAAATTAAACAGGTGATGGAGAAAGGTAGGATGTTTCATAATTAAGTTTTAAAAATTTAACCCCATGGTGCAGCAGGTTGAGCACAGTGCTGTGAAGCTATCCGCAGCCTCTGTGGTGCGATCAATTCCTGGCCAGCCAGGGAGATTCCCACATGGCGCAGCAGACCTCTCCTGTCATGCCCACTGCTCCCCTGAGCAGTGCTTTCGGTCTGTCTGCCTGTTCTGCTCCCTACTCTGTCTCTGGTGAATCCTCTCACCCTCCCTCGCGTCTGGCCTGTACCCCAGCTATTGTATAATAAAAAAAAATTAACCCCACATAGTGTTGTAAACCATTGTTACTTCAATAAGTTAAAATAAAATACTTAATAGTGATAAAAGGGTCACTGGGATTTAAAAAAAAATTTAACCCAAGCATAATAATTACAGAGATATTATTGATCAAAACATATATAAAGAAGATGAGGAGATTTTAGTTGAGCATAATTAACAGTCTTAATAGCATAGTTTACTCTAATTGGCAAATATTCATAGGCTGCATTTAAAAAGTGCACAGGGGACTATGGTGATGGCGCACGGATGAATTGGTGAAGGAAATTCTATGGGGACTACACTTGGGGGGTGGGGAAGCAAACATTGTTTAAAAATGAAGAATGATGTAAAATATATATAAATAAAAAATTAAAAAATAAGAAGTGTGCTATTTTAACTATAGGAAATAAAATTTTCTTTTTTGTATTCTGTTCTAGTCTTAATACTATCTGTAACATTTTGTTCCATTGAATTTGGTGAGGACTACTGGCAAATTGGAGGATGGCATATCTAGAGAATGGCTGTCAAAGCAGTGAATGTATCTTTCATGAGGGAATAATCTTTCTTAGCATGTCTTCTCAATCAGGCCCCTGTAAGAGAGCACTACATATCAAATGACTTAAACAATGGCACTTTATTCCCTACAGTTAGAAGGCTGGGAAATCTGAGATGGGAATACTTCCATGGTTGGGTTCTGGGAAGGACCCTCTTTCTGGTCGGTAATGACTATCTTTCTGTTTCCTTTAATGATAGGGAGAAAGATCATTTCTCCATCTCTGTTCTTATAAGGATACAAATCTACTAATGAGGACGATGTTCTCATGATGTAATTATAATACCCTCACCACCAAATATCATCATAGTGGGGATTAGGACTTCAACATGGGAACTTGGGGCAGACACTGACAGTCAGTCCATTTCATTCTCCAGGGAGTCCCGCTCTTTGGCATGGTGCTAGGTATATAAGTAATTGATAATGAGTAAATGAAAGATGGAGAGAAGCTAGACATTTTATTTTGTGAACTTAGTTCATGAATGAACATAAATTCTTTTTTTCTTACAAATAATGTTAGTCTTGCTTACTTTTATTCTCTGCAGTTGTTCTTAGATATTATGGTGTCAGTGTACCCTTAGCATCTTACTGTTTGTAGACAATAGGTGACTCTATTGTGACATTCCTTAAGCATTTTTTGTTGGATACCATAGGAAGAATTAAAAAAACACAAGCCAATCTGTAGAAAAGGAATTAAAACCTTTTGGTGTTGATCATTCTACCTTTGTGCTTGGAGGTAAGCTATATGTCTTCAGAAGTTTGGCATCTTGTTTCAAAAAAGGAGTTAAAACATTGTGTATGTTAATCCTCTACCATTGTGCTTAAAATTATAAGACTTAATTTTAAGGTATACTTTTAGGTGGATGATGAAGACTTACAGGATGAACCTCTGCAGATCACAGTTCTTGACCATGATACATACAGTGCAAACGATGCCATTGGCAAAGTATACATCGACATTGACCCTTTACTCTACAGTGAAGCTGCAACAGTCATCTCAGGGTGGTTCCCAATTTATGACACCATACATGGTAAGGAGAATGTTCTAAGAAAATAAATCACAGTGTCTTTTAACTTTAAGGAATTAAAGATTTTTATGCTAAAACTTGAGATTTTAAAATTTATGTCTTTTTTAAAAAATATGTCTTCTTTTTTTATGGACATAAGATAGTAAAGTATTATTGGTCTGAGTGTTACTTTTCTGAGTTTGAAATAATGCTAGCTAAATTTATAAACCATGTTAATTTAAGTAAGTGCATTATTTAAAAATCATCTGATAGAGGTACTTTGTTCATAGAGCATATTTTGAAGTGGACAATACTGATATTTTTCTGCTTAAAAATTCTTCAAGGACTTTTTGTTGCCTAAAGCAGAGTTCTAAGAGTGTGGTATGGGGACACCTAAGGTTTCCCTGAGATACTTTATAGGTTTTGTTAAGTGAGATGAGAACTATTAACAGCATAATACCTGTACATCATTCACCATTTTTTTCTCAGTTTCTTAAGCATTGTACATTGACACCAGTGTACAGTGGAGTTTTGTTGAGGTTTTATGATATATGATGTTACATTGAATTTAGAGCAGAGATGAGAATCTAACTCTGTTCCTTTAAGTTCAACATGTGAGCTGGATAGCTTCCATTATGTTTAACTGGATTGTGATTACTTTCAATGAAATAATAAGTAAATATCTTTGTTAATTCTCATTTTATTTTATAATATGGTATTATAAAATAATATATTATAAAATAATATTATATTATTATTTAATATTATAAATATTATAAAATAGAAAATATTTATAAAATATTAAAAATTATAAAATAATATGATAAATATATGACCCACATAAGTAAAAACTCTGAAATCTTTCATAATGCTTAAGATTGGAAATAGGTCCTGTACTCAATAACTTTAAGAAGTTGTTCTGAATATATGCTGTCTCTTTAGAGGGCAAATGAACCCCTAAAGAACTGGCCAGTTCTTGCCATCTTTCTACTTATTTTACATATTTGACCTGGCAATTCCACTATAGTAGTTGACTATAAGAAAATAAAGCATTTTCTTACATGTATATAAATTTATTGTGATAATGTTTACATTTTATATTTATTTACTAATGTTTAAAATAGCAAATAAATTGGAAAATTGGATTTACTTAAATGAATTAGAATTTATATTGATCATGAATTACACAGCAAAATAAAATTCATGTTTACAGAATTGAGTTGTGTAAGGGAATGTGCATGATATAAATGCAAAATTCAGATTGTAAGACATAATAGAGTGATCCCACATTTGTTTAGAAACAGTAGAATTACATATATGTGATACCATTGAATAAATTGGCACAATACATGGTAAAATGCTTTTCTTTGGATAGTTTCATTTCTGGTTTGTAATCTTTTTCCTCCTTCTCATAGTTTCTACAATGTGTGTCTTTGTAATCAGGTAATAAAATTGAGTCAGTTGTTACTTACCAATAAAAAAATGCCCTTGGGGAATTAATCTGGAGGATTAAAAGCTATAACTGGGGCCTCCCCGGTGGCGCAGCGGTTGAACGCTGGGTTGCGAAGCTGCCCGCGGCCTCTGCGGTGCCGGTTCAATCCCCGGCTGCTCCCCGGCCACCGGAGGAGGGTCCCACATGGCGCGCAGACCTCTCCTGCCGCCTGCTGCTCCCCTCAGCGGTGTACTTCCGTCCTTCTGCCTGCTCTGCTCCCCGCTCTGGCTCTGGTGAATTCTCTCACCCTCTCGCGCTTCTGACTGTACCCAGTGTTTTTATAAATAAATAAATAAATCTTAAAAAAAAATAAAAGCTATAACTGTATGCATCAATTTTCCATACATATTATATTAAATATTGTTTATAATTGGCTTAATATGTTTATGGACTTTTGTTAGAAACTTAATCTTCTCTTACTTCAATGGGTAAATAAATGAGTAAGTCATTCTTTTTGGAAGGCTTTTCTCCATAAGTATGAATTGGACTTGAAGTCAGGACAGTCAAATATTTTTTGGTGTTTGGAGATAAGGACTAGGTAAATTTTATTTAAAATTTAAAAAGCCTTTTTTAACTTAATTTAATTTTTTAACTTAATTTTTTAACTTAACTTACATTGACTGAAAAAGATAAATCTTCTTTTGTGTTAAATCATATTCTTAGTGAAGAGCATGTACTTTGGGATCTGAGGATCTGACTTTTAATCCTGGTTCTGTCACTTATTATTTGTGACACTATGTAAATTAACAAATTTAAATTTCTTTCTTCTGCAAAATGAGGAGGATAGCTCTACAGCAATAACCTTAATGAGTTGGTATAAACACTATGAGGTGCTTCAGGTAAAACATTTAGAAAATTTTCAGTGCTTAGCACGTCATTGTCATCCTCATCATCACTTCAAATAGGACTCTTATCTAATCAGTCTTGATTAGAGACTTGTGGTAAAAATTAAAAATATTGGGCCTCCCTGGTGGCTCAGTGGTTGAGCGCTGGGTTGTGAAGCTGCCTGCAGCCTTTGCAGCACTGGTTTGATCCCCGGCTGCTCCCCGGCCACTGGAGGGGGGTCCCACATGGCGGGCAGACATCTCCTGCCGCCTGCTGCTCCCCTCATGAGTGTACTTCGGTCCTTCTGCCTGCTCTGCTCCCTGCTCTGGCTCTGGTGAATTCTCTCACCCTCCCCGCGCTTCTGACTGTACCCAGTGCTTGTATAAATAAATAAATAAATCTTTAAAAAAAAAATTTCTTTCTCTAATGCATACATGTTCTTGAAAAAATGAAATAAAGAGACTTATTAGTATGAACATAATTAGGAAACAACAGTAGCATTGATTGCTGTTATAATGATGCATTATTTAATGATCATTAATTGGCATTTACTTGCTAGATTATTTAATTATATTTTATTTTCTTAATGTAGAAGTTTGACTTTCTTTTTGAAATTATAGGTATCCGTGGCGAAATCAATGTAGTAGTCAAAGTAGACCTCTTCAATGATTTAAATCGATTTAGGCAGTCATCATGTGGAGTCAAATTCTTTTGCAGTAAGTAAATATAAATTATTATACATTTAGCAGGGAATTTAATAATTGTTAAATATGGGAAATCAAATTAATATTTCAGAAGGCTAATGGAAAATCTATTATACTTTGGTTTTGATTAGAGAAAATTATTAAATATTCAGAAATAGTTACTGTTATTCTGGGGACTGTTTAAATGATCTAAAAGTATTAACATATGAACTAATTTTTAGGCTTTTTTTTTTGAAAAAATCTAGTGGAGGACAGGCTTACTTTTTGTCATCTCATTGATGCTGCTTGGACCCCTGGGATGAGAAGAGAGTATGTGACCTTAGGAGGAAGTTGCCCCTATTTTAGCCTTTACTCCAATCTGTGGAAGGAATTACATTAAACATTGCTGGTAACAGTTACTAAATGCCAGTAGAAGAAGTAACAAGTGAACATTGTGGAATTCTTTCCAGAATTTTGAGGAAGAATCCATATTTAATAAACTGACTTAACTTCATTTATTTAAATGTTTTGCTTAGTGATATTGCATTTGAAAGTGGAGAATTGATTGCTAAAGCACTGCATAAGAATACAACTCTGAAATTCCTGAGAATGACTAGAAAAAAAGATTGAAAGTAAAGATTGAACATTTTTTGCTGCAGTGCTACAAATCAAGTTACCCTTGGAGAAATTAGTTCTGGATGACTGTGGTGTAGGAATGCAAAGTGTGATGGCACTTGCTTAAGTCCAAACTCAAAACCAAACAATTAAGGGAATAAACCTAAACCTACTTCATTGTATGATGAATAGGGATAGACCACAATTCATCTAGGTCACATGGTGCAAGGAAATCAGTGCTTATCATGTGTAAGCATGATAGAAAACACTGTGGTAAAGAAGGATCACTCATAGTTTCACAACAGTAGCCTATGCTACCTTTTTTTTTTTTTTTTTTTTAATTTTTTTTCTTTTTGCATAGAAGGACTGGGGTATAGTCCAGAGATACAGGGGATGAGAGGATTCACCAGAGATAGAGTGGGGAGCAGAACATCAGATTTACTGAAATACACTGCTGAGGGGAGCAGTGGGCAAGACAGGAGAGGTCTGTTGCATTGTATGTGGGTTAGCTCCCCGGCCAGCATTTGTACTCAGACCATAGTGGTGATAGCTAGGCCACCAGGGAAGCCTATGCTTCCTTGATGTCAGTTTGTTATCCATACTTAGCAGCAGCACAGTGGCTGCAGATAGCTTCATATTGCTGCATCGTAACCCCTTGTGCCACCAGGGAGACCCCCATGTATTTTTCATAGTACTTCCATACATTGATATTTTGTTGCCTATTAAATTTTTCTTTCACAAGTTTGGGCAAGTTATATTAAAGTTTGTAGAACTGTCAAAAAAAATACACTGGTTTCTTACTCTAGTATAGGACACTACAAGGTTGGAACAATCACTATAGCCAAGCACTATGGCCCTATCCAAAATTACATAAACATTTATAGATATTCAGCATTTTGAGTGGCAGGAAATATACATTAGAGTTGGGCAGATCTGGACTTTTCACAATTAGTTTGGATTAAGAGCTTTGAAAACTCATACATAGTTGAGTTAGCTTTAACACATGAATGTCTATTTTAGGAGGTTAGTTTGGTATAGACGTTCTCAGATTCCCCACCTTTTGAATCCTACTAGATCTTTTTAAATCCAGTGACAGTTCTACATATTCAATATGTTTGTTAAGTAGCACAGTGACTACTGAAGCAGTTGGCCAGATAAACATGGGTCATTAGAGACTGCAGGGCTTTAGTAGTGACTGCAGATTGTTCTGGAAAGCTAATGGTTTGATTTTGGGGGCTGTAGTATATGGTGTACAGAAGAACTTCTTAAAGGTCTTTGAATAAAGTTTTTTGTATTCATTATCTGCTTTCTGCCTATTTATTTAATAATCAGCTAGATGATTTTAATTTTGATTTTTTAAAACTTTGTATTGAATGCTATTTAAAGTAAAACAGCAATTTGTTGTGGAGCCTCCCCGATGGCACAGGGGTTAAAGTCTCAGCACTATCAAGCTATGCAGCCAGCCCCTACAGCATGAGTTTGATCCCCGGCCAGGGAGCTGACCCACATGGCACAGCAGACCTCTCCTGTCTCGCCCACTGCTCCCCTCAGCAGTGTATTTCAGTAGATTTGCCTATTCTGCTCCCCCCTCTGTCTCTAGTGAATGCTCTCACCCCCTGCACCTCTGGCCTATACCCCAGTTCTTGTATGCATAAATAAATAAAAATAAATCTTTTTTAAAAGTGCAATTTGTATCTACTATGCTTACATGACAAAGGTGAGAGGCATCATAAATGGAAATGTGTATTTTTAAGAATAAATAATAGCAGAAATTAGAAGACTGATTAGAGTTATCATTGCTGTAATCACTTTGGATTACCACAGTAAAAGTTGTTTTTGTATTATATATCAAGAGATAAGAACTTAGTTGTACATTTTTTAAAAATTGAATTTGACCTTGTGATAAATAGAAACATAATACACATGCATTTTTTTTTTTTAACAGCAACATCTATTCCAAAGTGCTATAGAGCTGTAATAATTCATGGATTTGTAGAAGAACTTGTGGTCAATGAAGACCCAGAATATCAATGGATTGATCGAATTCGCACACCAAGAGCATCAAATGAGGCCAGACAGAGACTCATTTCTTTAATGTCAGGTATTTTTTGAAAAATATTTTCATTGCTGATTGATGTAATACCCTTAAAATTTTCACTTCTTTTGACATACTACCTGATAATTTACAGGGAAGGCTATGAATTTTAAGTAACTCTAGCCACATCTCCTGCTGAACACAATGCATTTGCATCTTACAATAAGAAAGAATTCAGAAGAAATCTGAATCAGATGCTTATAATTCCTTCATAGCTAGGTAGTAAAAGAAAATTGTGCTCATTAAATGGCATAGTGGAAAGACCCCTTAGCAAAGAGGTAGAAAACTGAGTTCTAATTTTTCTCCCTCTGGTATATATTTGTAGTCAGAGTTTAGGTAATCTCTCTAATGCTTTTTATTCAGTTGTTGCATTCACAGCTACAGCTTTTTAAAGCTCTGTACCTCCTTGCTACTCTTACCCTATTACTTTTCTTTCTCTTCGAAGAACTTGTTAACATCTAAAATTTATATATACGCTTACACATAATGTGTTAGATAGTAAGTATAAATATATCTTTGTATAATAAAATACATTTCACATGGGACTGATATGAAGGAACTACAAAGAGGTCATATAACTCACAAAAAGAAAACAAATAACCTAATCAAAAAATGGGCTGAGGAATTAAATAGACACTTCCACAGAGAAGGCATCTACATGGCAACAGTCACATGATAAAATGCTTATCATCACTTACTGTCATGGAAATGCAAATCAAAATCACGATTAGATACCATCTTAGACCTATGAGCATGGCCTATATCTAAAAGACCAGAAACAGTAAGTGTTGGTAAGGATGTGGAGAAAAAGCAGTCCTCTTACATTTTGGTGGGAGTATAGACTACTCTAGGCCCTGTAAAAATAGTATGGAGGCTGCTCAAAATATTAAGATGAATCTGCCATATGACCCAGAGATTTCACTCCTAAGAATCTACCCAAAGGACACAAAGACATTAATTTGAAAGGAAACTTGCACTCTATGTTTATTGTAGCAATATTTACAATAGCTAAGATATGGAAACAACCTAAGTGCCCCAAATAGATGAGTGGGTCAGAAACATATGGTATGTGTGTGTGTGTATTCCACACACTGGAATACTACTGAATTATAAAAAAGATGTGCATACTCTCTTCATTTGTGACAGTAGCATGGATAGAACTGGAGGAGGTTGTGCAAAGCAAAATAAGTTAAAAGGAGAATGACAAGTACCAACTGTTATCACTTTTATGTGGAATATAGAGAAACAAAACAAAGTGTCAGATAAACCAAGACCAAACCCTAAAAATCTTGACTGTAGAACTGATGCTACCAGAGGGAGAGTGGAAAGAGAGAAAAAAGTGGGGAAGAAGCACATGGAAAATGGTGGTGGTCTACTGGTGGTGGGTGTGATGTGGTAGCAACACCTGAAGGAGGAGACCCTATACCTCTAAATCACAAACAGCATAGTAAACCAATGTTACTGCAATAAAAAAAAACTTATATATTTGTTTTTTGTTATCTTTCTCCCATCTTTACATAGACAGCATCAAGTTTGGGACTTTATCTTTCTTTTTCACCTGTGTATATCTGGCACTTAGAAGAAAGAAAGAATGTTAGACATATGATATAACCACAAATTATCTGGTAAATGAATGACAGATACATGAACCTTACTTGCCACATCTGTAGAATGCAGCTAATATCTCACCTCTCTGAAAATAGGAGGCTATACCCAATATTCTGTTAGATTCCCTTCAAGTTGTAAAAGTTGGGATTTTTTGGGGGGGTTGTTTTCTGTAGTAATGTAGCCATATCCTTATTTAATGTGGAGATAAGAAAGGGGAGGGGATGGGCTCAAGACAGGGAAGAGCACAAGGGACTATGGTGATGATACACCAGTGAATTGGTGGTAGGAATTTTACAGGGACTACTCCTGAGATGAGAAAGCAAATATATACAAAAATAAGCAATATTGTAAAATATATATAAATAAATAAATTTAAAAATAGAAAATAAAAAGTAGAATGAGTTTTCTCCCCTTTTTTCTAGGTGAACTGCAGAGGAAGATTGGGTTGAAAGTACTTGAAATGAGAGGAAATGCTGTTGTTGGGTATTTACAGTGCTTTGATCTGGAAGGCGAATCTGGGTTAGTAGTACGAGCCATAGGAACAGCGTGTACTCTGGATAAATTAAGTAGCCCAGCAGCATTCCTTCCTGCATGTAATTCCCCATCCAAAGAAATGAAGGAGTAAGTATGAATCATTGAATTGTTCTTCTATCTATACATCTTCATTCAATATGAAACATTTTAGTAGTTATTCTATATGCACTTTTTTCTACGGTAGTTTTTCTTACCAGAAATGACTATCAAACTTTGAAGCTTAAAACTCTTCAGTCATTCCTGATATTTAATTTATACTGTATTAATATGAAATTCAAATTAAGTAAGGTAAAATTAAGCTTATCTCGATATTTAGACACTGTTTACAGCTTTAAATGGACATTTATGCGTTGTGTGAAATTTTACTCAACAGCTGGAGTACCCTTAAATCCCTATACTGATAATCCATTTAGGTTTATTATTAGCAATGTAGTATAGACAGCAGAAAACAGTGACTTGTATTGGGGAGGGAGGTCCCAAACTAAGATGTCTGTTGAGGTCAGACAGTAAAATAATTGGTTATAACAGGAAATACTGGTGTCTGTGTAAAGCAGGTGTTGGAGAACTTTTCTGTAAATGGCTTCATAGTAAATATTTTAGGTACCTGCCAAAGAGTTTCTACTTTTGTTTACCAAAAAAATGCAGTCTGTCAATCCTGAGGTAAAGGAATTTAGACTCATACATCTTTAAAAATCTATGTGTAAGTCAAAATACTCCTGTTGGGTAGATTTGGCTGTATCGTCATTGTATCTAAAGCAGAGATCTCAACATAGTGGTGATGCTGTCATGAAATATTACAGATGAAAATTTTATGTCTTAACGATTGGGGTGAGGGCGGAGGGTACAACTCTTGTACAGTGAGGTTTTGTACCATTCCAAAAGCCAGTGGTATTTTTATTGAGAACCCCTGATCTAGAGAGTCTTCTAGTTTAAAGGTCAACAGTTTTTTTTCTGCAAATGATCTGAAGATACCAATAAATAAAGTTCTTTTTGCTAATGGCAACTATTCAGCTCTGCCATTGTAGCATGAAAGTTGCCATTGACATTATGCAAGCGAATAAGTGTGACTTGCTATATTCCAATGAAACTTATTTACAAAACAGTGACAGGATAGATTTATTTAGCTTGTAGTATACAGTTTGCTGACCCCTATCCTACATTACTAGGAGTTAGAATTCTGTTTTCAGAAAGCTTGAAGTATTCTCCATTCAGAAACAGTCAAGAGAGATTTGACTAGAAAACAATTACATTTTTTAAAATGAGTTTTTCTTTATCTTAACTTTATCCTTTTTGTCTAATTACTTCCTTCCTGGAGGCCATTAGTTATTTGGATTTAATCCTTTGGAAAAGGGAGCACACTATTATATATATTGCCTTAATCTTAGTTGGCAATACATTGTCAGCCAGTAAATATGAGTGAATTGTTTTATATTCTATTAATTTAAGATGTCTTAAAAATATATGAACTGCTTGCTGTTACAGGTAAAATTAGAATGCAAGTATAACTTTTTGAGGGATTCAGATTTTTCTGTATCTCTCCATAAACAAACAAGCATAGATCTGGGTCTCTCCTCCTGTCTCCTCCAGCTCTATCTGTACTGTCTGAAGGGGCCTGGACTTTGCAGCTGTGATGTATGAACTTTTTCTCTTTTCACTAACCTATTTTTTAGAAAGAGAAAGCTCTATTACCTGTTGGTGTCTTGGAATGATGTATGGATAGATAGGAGGGGAATACATTTCGCCTGCATTTAGGAGTTCCACTAATGTAAATCATACAGATTTTCTCATTTTCTAATTTTGTTGAGCCATTTGCCTTAAATTGTCAAATCGTCACATCATGAAGAATTTAAGTTGCTTCATTAAGATTTTCTGAAAGGCATTTTATTACCTAAGTCCCCAACAACTCCTCAGTACTTAAATTCTTTCACTTCAGCCAGCTTCTTTGTACATTTATAATGAATCATTTTGGTTGCTAGTTTAACTTGTCTTATGATTTTGCTGATTGTAACTGTTCTGGCATTTAATGATAACATCTTTGATTCTAGACAGAAATTTGATAAAAGATAGTTTGTATTATGTTTCTGTCTGAATGGATTAATATTAGAAATACCACTAGGGTTTTACTGTAATACCACCTTTTTATGCAAGGAGACTCTTAAGAATTAAAAAAAAAAAAAAAAAAAAAGCAAAATACCAAACAGTGTTTATCTGTATGCAGATAAATTTCTTGTCATTTGTGCTTAAGTATATGTAACATAAATATTGAAAACAAAAAAAGAGAAGCAAAAAAGAGAACAAAAAAGAAAAAAATTTGAAAAAGACTTTTTCTTAGTTGTTTTCTGAAAAAAAAAAAAAAAAAAAAAAAGAATTAGAACTCTAAGAATACATTATGGTTATACTCTAGTGGATTTGGATTTTAATTTGATGTTATAAATTGAACATTTTACAGTGTTCATTTTATTTGTTTTACCTTTATTAATGTATTCTACTCCATCTGTTTGATTTTTCCTTTTAGATGTTTAGTGTTATGTACAATATAAATCTCTGGTGTTTTCTAGCTAAACTGTCTTGATTGTAGAAAATGCATTAAAATATGACACATTGCTTTCTATTAAAAAAAGTAATTTTCTAGGAGACTTTACCTGTAACTTCTCTGTATGTCACTATTCTTAGACTTTTTAAGTCTATTAGTCACTTCAACAGAGAAAAAAGAAATAAAAACTCAGTCAATTGTAAAAGGACGCTAGTGAGTTGTTTGATTTTCATCAGTTGTATTAAATACCTTTTTAATTTAAGCTAGCAACCAAAGCAGAAACATTTGTAATACTGTAAAATCTGATGTTTTTAGAAAATAGTCTATAGACTTTATGAAAGAACATTACTGCCAATTATTGACAGCTCATATTTAAACCTTGTCAGGCTATGATTTTTGGAAAGGATATAATCGTGTTTCAGAGCATATTCAAATGGTTTTCCCCCTTATGTATAAGCAAAGGCATTGCAAGGTGAAATAATTGCTGATACGAAGTTTCTGATATTATTTATACAATATGCTTTTCCCCCATCCGGTTGAATTATTTCCTTTTGGTTGAATTTCTCCATGAACATTTTTAATGTTGTATATGAATAATTATCTGTGTATCTGATTTAAATATATCCATGCACACATAGATGTCATCTCTTGCAGGTTGTAAGTTGCCATCATAGAAAACTTCAATTCAGAATCTACTTTAAATAATAAATTCTGTTTAAGTAATCTATATAAGAGTTAGACAGATTCACATTGCTTTATTACTGTGTTTTAAAAGCAGTGTCCCTTGTTTTGTTTCCAGGCTGTACTATTGATGCACTGAAATACTAGCATGTGCCTATTTGCTTATATACATTTGGTTGACTCATTTCTATTTATACTGTCGCTTTTCATATTCTTTAAGTATGCCTACTTTGAAATTCTAGACAAATAGTTTGGTTAGTTAATCTTTCTTTATAGAAAAATATAACTACTTATATCAACAGTTATTCATATCTCAATTTCAAAGGTAATATATAGGTAAACATAAAAACTTGGACTTTTCACTTCTGTGGGTATTTTCTCCCTAAAATACTGTATAGCAAGTTCTATGGTAGTTAAAATAACACATTTTAAAGTAACTAAAAATCCAAATCTTGGGCTTTTTATTATTTAAATCCACTGACAACTTTGCTTGCTTTTTCCCTTATTTACAGTCCTAATTTATTAATCTGATCCTTTAAAACTATAATTGTATCCTAACAAATAAAGATTTAGGTATCATTTTTATTTCAACTTACTTTTTGCATGCTAGGGATTCAAAAACAATTTCCTCTCCCCTAACTGAAGTTCCTTAAATTATTTTAACATAACTTTGCTATCTATTGTATGTATTGTTTTCTTTTCTTCCACTTTGACCACAAATTCCCTCAGGTCACCGCTGGTCCATCCTCCAAGCCATGGATGCCGCTCGACTCACAACAGCCCAATTCACACTGCTACTGGCTCACGACTTACTCAGAACTTCTCTGTGTCTGTTCCCACTCTCATCTACACTGGTACGAGACTGCTCAGACTCCAGAGCTGGGGAAAGCAGGCCATGGCAGAGTGGCTGCAGAGGGCAGGCAGGCAGGTAGCATAGGCAGGCCCACAAGCTTTGCTTCCTCCTTTTCGTTTGAAGTCCAGCTGCAGTGAAGAAATCCTGTATTTAGCTGCCACCGAGGCTCTAACTACATGAAAGTCCCACTTCCAATGTCTCTTCCATAGATCCTCCAAGAACCCTGTCATGTTTGTGGGAGTTTTTGGAAAATACTCTCCAGTTTGTATTTTGTCTTTTTTGCCATTGGTTAGAAATAAAATCGATGATTGGATTCTGAATGAAATAGCTGCCAAAGCTTCTGACTTGCTTTATTTTTATAATGTATAAAACCTGTAGGGTCTGTTATATTCTGTGGAAGAGAGTTATTGGAAAACAGGTAAGCAACTGTACTCGATAAAATGCAGTGTTTCTATGGAGCTATATTTATTTTCCTCCTTGCTGTGTTTTTAGCTGTGGCACTTGATGCTATAGGATAAGGAAACACATTTCTCTTTCAAAGATATCTGTGTGTGCAAATATAAAAACAATTGTGAATATTTACACACACCTTTTGCGGTCATCATTTTGCTTTCATAATTTAAGAAAGCATTGTTTATTTGGAATATTTTTCAGTCACGTATTTTTGTTTATTTCTCCTTTTAATATTTTTTATCCCTTTTGTCTGTCATTTCATGCTTTTTTGCTTTTTACTTGGCTTATTGACTGTTTCAATGCAGATAATTATTTATCTGGAGAATGATGAATGGTTAAACTGCAATTGGTGGTCTTTGGCCTTATACCCAGCTGCAGACTTAAGACATGACTGCTGGCCCTACCCCAATACTTCCTGGTGTTTGGATCATGCTGCCATCTGTCGTGTCCTTTGGCACATGATCACTTAATATTTCTCCACCTTCTTCTGGCAGGATTCCCTTCAATGAAGATCCCAACCCCAATACTCATTCATCAGGACCCTCAACCCCTCTGAAAAACCAAACTTATTCCTTTTCACCTTCCAAGTCCTACAGTCGACAGTCCTCTTCTTCTGACACAGATTTGAGTTTGACACCCAAAACTGGTAAGGCGCTTCCACCCACCTTTTCTTTTTTCCTTTGTTTTCAAATTTGTTTTGTTCTTATTAGCTTTCCATCCAAGCCTTTCTTCCTGATTTTGGCATTTAAGTTAAAAGAGTATGTGAATATTGATCATTTTCAGTTATTGCAATTAAAGTATGCAAATTTGTACAGTTCAGAAATTATCTTGTTCAACAGGAGACCTACATTTTGTTGATTTAATCACAGTGTAGATGTAAAGTCCAGGATTTATTTTTGTATGTAGACATTTTCCATTTCATGCTCAAATTAAGTGGAATAATATTTTAAAGAGCTTGAATAGAAAGTAACACTAGTAGTTTGTAATGCAGTTCCTCATGCATTAGTCATTTTTTAAATTCATTGTTTCTATTTCTGAATTTCTAAGATTTTTATTATGAAAAAATCTTAATTGAAATGGTTAGATTATAGATAGTTATTTAGTTATTAGTTTCTTGTTATTTAGTGTTTGGTTTTGTTAGCTTTACTCTCTAGGTTAAAAATAGAATTTTTATTTTACTTATTCTTGCATATTTCTCAGTGCATTTATGTTTTTCTCCTATTTGTATTTTGATAATCTCTTTTGAGATTTTATGAATATGTTTTATGATAAAAAGTTGATAAAAATAAAGTTAGTTTCATAATCCTTAAAATAGAATTAAATCATTATTCTTAAATAAAAATTAAAAAAGTTTAAAATAATAGTTTGCAATTTTTGTAAATAGTATTTTTTGTCTAGCAATTTCCTGGCTAGGTTGATAAAAACATTTGCATAGGTGTAGTTTGCATTATTTTAAATTTTTGAGTTTTTTTAAAATGATTTATTTATGCATATAAGAACTGGGGTGTAGGCCAGAGGTGTGGGGGTGGTGGTGAAAGGATTCACCAGAGACAGAGTGGGGAGCAGAACAGGCGGATACACTGAAATACACTGCTGATGGGGGCAGCGAGCAGGTGAGACAGGAGAGGTCTGCTGTGCCATGCCTGGCTGGGGATGGAACTGATGCCGCAGTAATTGGTGATAGCTTGATAGTGCTGAGACTTAACCCCAGGGACGCACTTAAATTTATGAGTTTTTAGGGGGCTCCCTGGTGGCCTAGGGGTTAAGTCTCAGCATTGTCACCACTGTGGCCTGAGTCTGTTCCCAATCAGGGAGCCAACCCACAAATGGCACAGCAGACCTCTCCTGTCTCCCACTTTGCTTCCCTTAGCAGTGTATTTCAGTAGATCTGCCTATTCTGCTCCCTACCCTGTCTGGTGAACCCTCCCACCCTCCGCCTCTCTGGCTTTTACTCCAGTTTTTCTATGCAAAAAAAAAAAAAAAAAAAATTTAAAAAAATTATGAGTTTTTAGTAACCTTATTTTTGTGTAAGACAAATTTGTTAAATAATTCCAGATTTTATGAAATCAGTGAAACAATGAAAAAAAAAATCTAATTCCCAAACTAGTGAGTGCTACTTCTAAAGAAAGGACTTTTTTTTTGTAAAGCCTCTAGACTTCATATCTGTTTTTATAAATATAGTCACAATTTAAAGATAATTTATGAATTATTAATGACTGTCTAAATCTTTGAAATGAACAGGTTTTTTTTTTACATATATATAATTATGGATAATATCTAAGAATAATGCCATAATAATGTATGCTTTGGAATGTGGCATCTTAACCATATTTGTGCCCACAAAAACTCAGTCATTTCAGTTATAGTGAAGTTATTATTTTTCCTTTTTATTTTTTTAATAAATAAAGAATGAGATTCTGGCCTTGAAATCTGACAATCAAATTAAGAAAGATGATTGTATTTGAAGAATAAGTTTTTTTAAAGATATTTTTGAGGCTTTACCCAGAAGGCTTTGCCCTGTTTACCTGTGTATTCCAGGCCACTTTTCAATATTATTATCTTTATTTTTCTTTGCCATACCTCAGATATATTTTTGAAATTATTTCCTTGGTCTTTCAGTTTCTTTTTCTTTTAATTCACTAAAAGGCCAACTCTAAAGCAGATTATCAAGTAATACATGAACTGAACCCAGCTTCTTTTTCCTCTGCTCTCTAGTGGGCAATCAATTGTATTATCAAAGAAAAATTATTTGTATTTTAATTTCTGCCTCTAAATTTTTACTTTTTTAAAATTCATTTATAACAGATATCATTTTCATGTATATCTATCTGTATTTATAAAGCTGCCTCTAAATAAATTATTTTCTTTGATTTAATAATTCACTACCTTAATAGCTTATTATAAGGTATGAGCAATATTTGGTATTTTTAGTCCTTTGTCCTATCATACGTTCCTAAATGTATAAATATATAAGTTTATATATAAACTGAGGAGTCAAAAATAAAACAATGTAACTAGAGTGAGAAAACTTTTTTCTTTTGTGATCACCTGTTTTTCAGATATGCCTTATTTTTAAGAAAAATTAGTAATGATTTCTTTCTGTAGGTTCTAATTTTTCACATTTTATAGGACTTTATTTTCATGGTTTCCCCAGTGCTTAACTAGTAGGAGGGGAATTTTATTTTATTTTTTTAAAGATTTATTTATTTATGCATACAAGAGCTGGGGTATAGGCCAGAGGTGTGGGGGGTGAGCAGATTCACCAGAGACAGAGTGGGGAACAGAACAGATCTGCATCCACCGAAGTATGCTGCTGAGGGGAGCAGTAGGCGAGGCAGGAGAGGTCTGCTGTGCCATGTGGGTTGCTCCCTGGCCAGCTGGGGATCGATCTCGTGCTACAGAGGCAGCGGACTGCCTCATAGGTTGCATCTCAACTCCTTGAGCCACCAGGGAGGCCCCTAGGAGGGGAATTTTAGAATGCTAGGTAGTACATTGATTTGACCCTGACGCCATTTAACTTTCCCTTTTTAAAATCAGGCTCTTCCCCTGTTTAGTTTTCATTATCTATAAGGTATTTGACTGTCAGGCACTGAAATCTTTGTAAAATCAAAAGTACTGGGATCAGATTTGAGTATTTAAAAACTACAAAGAAAAAAATAAGTATTAACATACCTCTTGAAGCTGGACAGAAAGAAGTTAATGTTTTATTTATGAAAAATTAATAATAGCAACTGCTGTCTACCTAATGTGGTACTGAGTGCTTTTTTTTTAAATTGGTATTCAATTAAAATAGTCACAGATAATATGTTTTAGATAGTAATATTTGAAGCACTGTACATTATTACTTTAAATATTTATTTATAAAAGATTTTTATTTGAAGCAGCACTTTCTGGTTTTAAAAAATTGTAAATTGTAGTACCTTATAACCTTACAAACTCTTAAGCAAAAACGGACAGGTAATTTGAATATTTTTATGAAGTCAGCTAAAAGTGATTGGAATGTTATATCATTCTATGTTAACATTTAAAAAATTTTTAATGAATACAAACTTTGCAAAGGATTTGCTTTGTTTTAGACTATGCCTTTTATTTATATTGTGTTGAATAGATGGTTTTGCTGGTGACTTCATATGCTTAGTGTAATTTGTGTATACATTTTAAAATTCATTTTTACTGTTATGTTTTGCTTCACCATTGCTTTCCTTATCCTGCATTTTCTGATCATCTTCTGAATCTGCATCTTTTCTCTGCTACTTTCCTCCACAGCACCTTACCCACAGGGGCCTAGGATTTACCTGTGTCCCAGCTCCCCCTCTCTCTCTTGTGGTTCCCTTCATCTTAAAAAGTCCTGTCTCCTCCTCTCGGAATCTAGCCTTACCCCTCATCATTCTAGCCTTGTCAGCCCAGTTCTGAGGAAAAGTGTTTCTTTCAGTGAAGAGCTGTTCCTGGCTGCTTCTGGTAGGATCACATTATGTCAGCTTTTTAATCCCTTTATTTTAAATCATCTATGAAAAAGTAATTATTTCATACTATCAATAATTATTGGGTATTTTACACAGGATGTACTTCTTATTTTTCTTACTGGCAGAGTTAAATGTTTATAGTTATAATGAGGACAAAATTAAGGATTACTTTATATTGCTAAAGTTATTTCATATATTAAACATTTTTTATGTCTGACATAGACCTGCATACTCTCAATAATTATTAGGTTCTCATTACTAGAATTTCCGTTACAGATGCTTTGCTTTCTTTCCCTTCATACCAGCTGCATTTACATCGAACCTGTACTATCAGGTTGCTACACCATGTGATTACATTAGTCATTTATTCTGTTTGAATCAGTTTAAGTTTCATTTTGGTGATAGTACTTTCATTATCCATTTTTTTCTGTCCTTTGCATTAATGACCAATTATTTGGCTATATTTTCTGCCATTTCATTTATCTCTACAAAATTATATTTTATTTTGTGGCTTTCTGTATGCTCCATATAAAGATCTTAGTTTCATTTCTATACTTAGTATTGTATAGTCTCTATAAACCATGTATAGGTTATTATAAGATAAATTTTCTATTTTTAAAGAACAGAATGGGACTATACACATGCTAACCTTTGTTTCCTTATCCAAGAACAGCTAAAAATGTAAAAGTAAATTAGTTCCTTTTTATAAGTCATTCTAGTAAATCTGTGTTTATCTTTAGTTTTACACGGGTGGGATTGAACTATTAGCTCTAGTCTGCAGAGCACTTGCTTCTCACCTGTCCCCTGCTTGCTGTAATTCTTTGACCATAGTTGGTCTAGTAGTATTATCAGAGAATAAAATAAGATAGGGAAAGAAATATAAAATTAAGCCTTTAAAAATATATCTTAGAGCTTGGGAAATATTTGTTCATCCATAACTATGTACATTTGTGATGTGTCTATTACATGTATGTGATTTTTAGTTCTTAAAAAAATTTTATGTTGATTTTTACAAGTGAGTGTTGAAAAGTATGAATATTAATACTGTTGTCATGAATGTTATGCTTAGGAATGTTAATTTGTCAGAAAATAGTTTTGACTGTATTTCAAAATTGCCTAAAAATCATGTTTTTTAGAGGATTTTGGAATACTTTAAGTAAGCACAATTAATGCTCTTCTGTATTTGCTTTTAAATAAACATTCAGTATCTCATTTCTTTCAATATTAAATTGTCAGCATAGTAACTAAATGGTGTTTTCTTGATTATTTTCTAATGGAAGATTGAACTTTTAAAAGGAATTGAATGAGACACAAAAATTCCTTGCCTTAACGTAATTAAAAATATATATTTTAAAACAAATTAAATGTTAAACTGATTGTGATCAGTAGGACTTGGACATCTTGCTTCTAAAGAAATCTTTCTTTGTGAGTAAATATGTGCTTAGTTGCCATCCTAAATAGTTGTTGGATTATTTTCACAATTTGACTCATGATATGTGCGAATGCAATTAAACCTTCTGTATCTACAGTTGTTTTTTGGTTGTTCTTTATGTACTGATGTTCTGTAGGAATGGGAAGTGGTAGTGCTGGAAAAGAAGGGGGGCCATTCAAAGCTCTCTTAAGACAGCAGACTCAATCGGCACTGGAACAGAGGGTAAGACTCATCATTCTTTATTCTTACACTGTTTATGATTTTATTGTCATGCTTCGTGTACTTACAGTTTATTTCCATAAATTGTTTTTGTTCATGTATTACTAACATTGTAGTTTTGAAGTTCAAAATGTATTTAAAGTATCAAAATAATTTGCCTGTGAATAATTAATTTCAATTGGGGATTATGTTATTAACTATTTTTGTTTTGTCCTCCAAGGTTTTATTACAAACTCTTTATTTGCAAATACGCATTGAATGATAAAATCATTTTTAATTTCAGTTAAAGTTTTAAGGTATGAAAAGGAAATAGAAATTTTTACAAAAACATTCTAGTTATAATACATTAGAAGTAACTTTAGCATATGAATATATTTATTTGCTGAGATTATTTTATCATTGGCTTATCTTTGGGGTAAGAATGCACAGATTTTTCTTCTACAGATTGACATAAACCGTGTATTCATTCAGTATGTTAAGGCATCTATTTTAACTATTACAACTTTGATATTTAGTTCAGTATGTTAAGTGGGAAAATAGTTAAAGTTTTTGGATGACTTCTCTTTTTATGTTTTTGTGTAAACTTCATTGCTAAGGGAGGATCGCCTCATAGGTTCTGTAGAAGGCGGGTATGTTACTGGACATGTGTGAGAACCTATTTCTTGTATTAGTAGCTTTTTTAGTTTTCATCTTGATCATTTTAAGTTTTATTTAAGCTTTTAACAAATGTTACCAGCTTTTTTTCTTTTCATAATGCAACATTTTTTTGTTTTAGTAGCACTGTGAGGCTCATGTTTGTTTTTTTCTACTTAACTAAAACAGTGCATGCTCTTATATGTCATGTCACTTATTTTAAGGCACAGTTCCATAGCTTTCATTATGTCTGATTTTAAAGTTAAAAGCATTTACAGAATTTTCTTTTACATGTTCCATTTTATACTATTCTTTAAAAAAGTGAAACAGCAATACCTATAAACGGATGCTTTTTATGAAAACAAAGCTATTTTCTAAAGGTTGGCTTTTGGGAATAGTTACAAGCAAAGGCAATGAACTTCTTAGACTATCTTTTTTTAATGCTAGAAGTATCTTTATTCACTGCCTTTTTGACAGTGCTAGAAAAAGCAGCAGAATTAGGCAGTTTTGAGATTTTAGTTGTACCCAGTTCTTGGCATTATTCCCTATCAAATAATGATTACCTTTCAGCTATTCTCAGACATCACAGGCATACAGCTACTTCCATCAAAAAACCCACTTAGATATTCAAATCATCCATTGAATCCAAATACAAGGAAAGGCTGAAAATAAGAAGAGGGCAGAGTGATAGTGTTATGTGTCTACTTCTTTATTTCTTTGTTTATGTTTTAGCCAGTATGCTCTTATTTCCTCTCTTCTCCCGGCTTTGTATTCTCTACTGAGTCCCTCATATTGGGAATATATTCAGTAATCTATTTACCATTTCTAGAATTAACATGAGCCATAACACTTGGGTAACCTTGAGATGTGATCTACTGAGATAATTGCCAGTATGTTGTGCCTGTGACTTTGCTATCTGATTAAGAACTTTTAAGGGCCTCCCTGGTGGCACAAGGGGTTAAGCACTGCACTATGACGCTATCTGCAGCCTCTGCAGCACTAGTTCGATTCCCAGCCTGCCAGGGAGCAACCCACATGACACAGCAGACCTCTCCTGACTGGCTCGCTGTTCCCCTCAGCAGTGTACTTCGGTGGATGTGCCTGTTCTGTTGCCCACTCTGTCTCTGGTGAATCCTCTTACCACCCGCATCTCTGACCTGTACCCCAGCTCTTGTATGCATAAATAAATAAATCTTTAAAAAAAAATATAGAACTTATAAAAAACTCTGACATTAAAGGGAAAGATTACCAGTTGCCTTGAATTTAGTTTGCATAAACTTTATGTTTTCAAATATTCTTTTAAACATTCTTAAAGTTTTGGATACATTAATATCCTAGGCATACATTATTAGGGAATCTTCATGAAATTCATAATAGAAGTGTGGAGAGCTGTAATTTTTTTTTTTTTTACAGCTTTGTAAAAAACAAATAAATCTCTATTACTACACTGCACAGGCAGTTACTTGAGTTCATCAGACCATTTCTTTATCCTGCATACATAATCAATAGCAAAAACATTGTTTTTGACTTCATTCACTTTTAGCTGCCATTCGTATGGCTTCGTTTTGGGAAAAAATTGCACAGAAGTCTGAACAGTTCCCTCTTTTGTTTCAGATAAGCCTTAACTTTGTCAAGTTAAAACACTTTATATTCATTTTTGAAATACTAATTTCTACCTCTTGCCACCCTTTATAAATTATGTAGCCTTTTACTTCTTTTGAGGAAAAGAGAAACTTTATTTAATCCATTAAATAAAAGATGTTATTCAAGTAACAGTTCTTTAAAATTTTGTTTGCATAAAATTTGTTTTTGAGTATTCCTTTAAATGTCTTAAAGTTTTGGATACATTAACACATTGGGCATAAAATATTAGAGAACCTGCATGGAATTCATAGTAAAGGTATGGAGAACTGTAATTCTTTTACAGTTTTGTAAAAACTAAATATCTCTATTGTGAGTGTATTTTATTTCCCTCTCACAAAGAATATTAAAAAATAACTTGAAGATCTTGGCATGGTGGGTCAGATTATTGAGTCATTAGAAATAGAGATAGTTTTATTTGGCTATAGGTTTCATCTCAAACTACTTGAAATAAAGGGAATGGATTTTTGCAATGTCTCTTCTTATAAGAATAATGTAACTATTACATTATTTTATTGCATTATCTAATTTTTAGATTCTAGAATGTGTATTTCTCTTCAAGAAACATAGATGCCTTAGTTTAATCTTGTATTTCCCAAAATATATTACCATGGAACTTCTCATTTAAAATACCTACTAGTGAGGAACATGTTTTGGGATATACTGATTATAAAGCAAACTCTTGATAACTTACTATGTTTTTAGAAGTGGGGTTAAATTTGTACAATAAGTCATAGTAAGAATCTAGCATGGAGTTTTATATCTAGAAATTTTACTTTGGTCGCTGGGATAAGAATGTTTGTTTTAAAAAATAAACTATAAATCTTTAAAAAGTAAACTATATCTTCTAAGGAAAATTCTATTTAAATATACCATTGTGTTCTCATTTTTCAACTAGCCTATCTTTGAGTACATAATATTTATGAAATAAATTTATGCTCCATGCACTTGTGTCAAAGCATCAACATATAAAATCTTATCTAAATATCATATAAAGATACTTTAAATACAAGCGCTTTTCATAGAAATGTCTTTCACAGTCCCTGAAATTCCCATCTAGGCATTGAAAGCAGGATGTAGTTGTCCTGATATTAAGTAAACTGTCCTTTTCAATGAATGAGAACCTGTAAATTTATTAGGTGTAATAATAGAGTAGAAATTGTAATCGGCTTAACTTGGTGTTTAAATCAGAAATGACAAGAAGCTGAATGCTCAGAAAGAGCCTAAGTATAAAAGGCCCTCTTTACCTCAGTTTTTCACCTAATTCATGAATGTAATAATACCTCCCTCTTAGGGTATGGGGTAGATTATAAAGCATAGTTTTAAGGTACTTTACATAGGCTGGCACATTATAAGTTCCTCCATCGTTGCTGGTGATGGTATGGAGATGACAGGTTTTCAGTAGTCAGTGAGAGAGCAGGAATTCCTAATAAGAGAGTTGCCTGAAGGTATAATTTTGGTGAATACAGAATGATTTTTATTTACTCTGATTTAAATTTGGATGTGTAAGTGAGTGGATGTGCTGCTTGGATAACGTGGGACATGTAGGATAGTTGAAGTTGGCGGAGTGGTCCTCTGCCTCTTGGGACATCTGGCTGTTTCCCAGGATGCATCTGGCTGTTTCCCAGGATGATGCTTTTCCTAACCCAGCTTCTAAAATTGGGGGAGAAGAGTAAAGAATCCCCAAAAGAGAAATCATTTAGGTCCAGTTTTTTATACTCATCTTATATGTAGATGTTTTTCAATATGTGAACTTGCCTAATACATTTCTCAGTTTTAGTGAGAAATACCATTTTCTATTTAGCTTACTAAGAATTTAATATTCAGTGTCTCTTATGCAGATATTTAAAATAGTTAAGTATAAAGGTTAAATGTAAAGTGCTTTTTAATTCTTTGGGACTATGAAATGCCTCAGATATATTAAGGCTTCAGTGTTCTTGAAAAAGAAAAAAAATTGAAGACTTATCTTATTAGGTAAGCTACTATCCTCATTTCTATAACACGAGCCTCCCCATACATTTCTCATTTAAAACTTATGCTAAAAAAATTGAGGTGGAAATAAGGAAGCATTTTGACTAAACATTTTATAATACATTTAAGTGACCTATCCCTACCCCTGCCTGACAGCTAGGCCAACCTATCCAGGTTCATACACTGGCATTTTACTCTTTTTCTATATAGCCCAGGCTTTTCTTGCCCTTGCTCATTTAAAAATTACTTCTAAATTCAAAATGATTTTTTTCTTAACATGTGTGTATATACATACACACATATATGTTATACTGTATCTCACGAGTTACTGAGGTGTGTGGGACTGTTTGCCTTTTTGCTAAATGACTCCAAGTTGCTATGCTTTGTAAATTATGCTTTGGTGAATTCCTATTCTCCGTGCTTTAAGCAGCCAGTGAGTAAACTTGCTGCTTTTAATGTGCTGCTCCTAGTAGTATTCTGTATGTCTTTCTCTCCTAGCTTTTATTTGTTGCATTTAATCTGCTGTGGTTCAGGGAAAAAAAGATACTGATAGATTTTTGAATATGTTCCTAAAATTGTAGATTTCTAATTACTACATATAATAGTATGAATGTGATCTCTGGGGATCTCTTATGAATAAAGTACATAAACTATTGTACTTGGAAATAGAACAGTTCTTTTGACTGCTGAGAGACCCTTTGTTTGCTTATCCTTCAGTTCTTAGTTGTGTTCTGAATAACCGAGGCTACTGGTAAGTGACTCCTGGTTAAGTGAGCTACATCAGTCATGCAGTCAGGACAGTCAGTCATTGTGTTTCCCTCACTTGCATGTAATTGTGTACTGGGAGAGACCTCTATCTTTAGGCAGCCATGAAACTCCTGCTTCTTCCTGGGTGCCATTTCAGTGAAATTCCTTTCTCACCTTTACCATTTCTTTTGTCTTCTTGTCTCGAAATTGATTTTATGTCTATGATAGAATAAGAGAATAAAGCTTGGAAGAACTTGTGGAATTATCTTGCCTTCCTAGTTTCCTCTACATAGCTCTCCCCTTAATATACATGTATGTATTTGCATTTTCTCTTGCTACCCTGGAGCTGATAGTAAGTAATCCTACACATCATTCTCTACCTTCCTCTCTACCTTGCCCCCGTCTTTTCCTTATTGTGTATCTCTTAAACCATACTGCTCTCCCCTTACCACACCTCCTTCCATTGCATATTTGCTTCGATTTCTTTCTCAGGTCTTTGGAGTCTTTACCAGTAGCCTGGAATTGGGTGTATTTGTGAGAACTGTACAGATTGGGGGAGAGAGAAGAGCATCCCTTCATCTCATTGGGAAGTTGCTCTCAGAGTAGAAGATTGAGAAGCAGAAAAAGTGTGTTTAAATATATTGAATTGGACCTCTGAAAATATGTTTCCTCTTTGAGAATCAATAAAGATAGTATTTTAATTCTATATAACATGATCTGTATGGAAAAGTGAATTTGGAAAGCCAAGCATCCAAAGAAACTTTTCATAGCAAAGCATGTGTAATATATAATTGGGAGCCTTTTGTTAAGGGATAGCATTTGTTTCCTTATGGAAGGCTTTTAATAAGTAAATTTTTTATATCTTGCACATAGTTATATTTTCCCCCATTCTTTCCATTAGGAATTTCCATTTTTTACCTTGACGGCATTTCCTCCTGGATTTCTTGTGCACGTCGGGGGTGTTGTTAGTGCACGCTCTGTGAAGCTTTTGGATCGTATTCACAATCCTGGTATGTTCCTAAAAAATATGTTTTCAGTCTTTCATCTACTTAAATTGTGTTTATTAAAATTTATTTTTACAATTTTCTTAAGCCAAATCTATATCAAAAAAGATAAAACTGGCACATATTGCTTTAAAATATAGTAATTTTATTAAAAATAAATGGAAATATACTTTAGTTACTTTTTAATACAAATCTTGGCTCATTTTTTTTTGGCCACAGTATCGCTTTGAGGGAATCCTTAAGGAACTTTTTAGTCAACTATTTTCTTTGATCCAAGCAGGTAACAGATTTTACAATTTGATCATTATGGCCATTGACTTAAACACATTTAACTGAAAATATGTTAATTTTCTTCACAAGCAGTATCTTTTTATAGATTGCTTGAGTCAATTGCATTCCAAAAGAATAATTCTTACTCTACAAAAGTGTCGAGTAAGAATTATTTTTGTAATTAATTACAAAATTATTTTTGTAATTAATTACAAAAGTAATTAATTACTTTCGTAGAGTAAGAATTATTCTTTTGGAATGCAATTGTAAGCATTGTGTAGAGTAAAAATTGAAAAAGAAATCTCATGTCTCTAGTTCCTCGGTTGCTGTTGTGTAGTGATTTATTCTATATAAATGAACAAGTATGAATCATAACTCACTTCTTTAATACATAGGACCAAAAGATTTTAGGCATCAAAGTGCTAGTAATTTTAGGGCCTTACATTACTAATGCTTTGGTGATTTTATAGATCTAAAATAAAAATGAGTAGTGGTGAGAATGTGTGGAATGTGTTCCTGCACCCTCTGCCCCCCAGAGAATAGAGCCTAATCATTTGCTTGAGTCACTTATTATTTTGACAACATACTCTTAAGTTGAAATGATATGGTATTGTTATTGGCATATATTACATGTATTTTTGAAAATTTTAAATGTCACTTTCAGTAACCTCTTTCTGAGGCTTATACTGACAGGTATAAAGTAAAATCTTTTAAATTATTGTACATAAAACATTATAGATAATGATTTTGAGGATGTAGGGCATTAGCTCTTTTTTAAATGAAAAAGAATTTTGTCCTTGCCCTGAGATTTGATGTCATTGAGTTAATAATTACAGAGAAACAGAATGGAATTTTTCTAGCCCTTGAACGAAATTTCATGAAAACAGAACTAGTTAGGATTATTTTAACTCTAAAGTTGAACAATACAGCTTCCAAGCATTAGTCTTCTCTTTTTCTTCTTTGGTTTGTTTTTTCCCCCTGTTCCTAACTTTGATCCTAAGATCAATTTAAAATCTTTTCTTCATTGTAGTATTTGTGTATTCTGCAGCAATTAATTGCCAATTTAGAATGATGCCTATTTTATTTGTTGAGACCTTGGAGGTTATGGTTATGCCACATTCCACCTCTTGTGTTTAGGAACTTGAAATGTTGGAAAGTGCACAGTTGTACTGAGTTGAGATGCCTGATGTTGACTGTGACCCAAGGCTAGTTACTGTGCTGCTCTGGACCACTGACTCAGATATTTTGATAGACCGTGTATGAGAACTCCAAGAATGGTTTCAGGAATATATTCAGTTGTTGGTGATGTCTTCTGTTTATGGAAAACATTTTACTTTATTTCTTTGCTTCCATGTACTCTGAGAAGCTGTTGAGTCTAGGAGAACAAGTGAAGGTTATTTACATCAGTTTAAGTAGTAAACTGTTTTAAAATTGCATTAATTTTTACCAAAAAACTGCTGTTTGGGGAGTTTATTTTTCTTGCCAGTTATTTATAACTGTGTAAGAAATGTGAGAAACCAGGCCTAGGGATCCTTATTTTAATTACCAGCTCATCCATTCTCTTCTTCCCCTTTCATAGGCATAATTTTCACCTCACATGTAGAAATCTTCAGTTATTAATGGACTATTTATGAAAAGTTACAAAAGGTTATCAACATATACATAGAAATGTTTTCAGCTACCTATGAGTTATATTTTGCTTTATTTTCAATTAAGTAAAATTGATGATTTATTCTAATTACATTATTTTGACATAAATATCACATTCCTTGGATTGTTTTGTATTTGTATTATGCATTTAAAAGCAACGTTTTCTCAAGAACATCATATTAACCTCCAGGTCCCTCAAGTATTTATGAAAAAATTTTGAATTTGTTGAAAGAAGCAGTGTTAACACAAAACTCTACATTAACATCTTCTGTGGTGAAGATGTGTTAACTTTTTGGCACTGAGTTACTGTGCTGACAGAAACTTACAATGAAGTGAAAGGAGTGTGCTAATATTCAAAGTGCTGTATTTATTTGCATTTCCAAATGAATCGTGCAGCTATTTTTTTTGACGGGTGAATATGGGAAATTTTCATTTCACACAAACATAGGAGGAAAAATTTTTATTTAAAACCATTACCACATGCTAACTATGGATTATTATTTTGGAGTTATTTATTTTAGAATTTCCTCCTTTGTTAAATATAAGCAAACAGGATCGTTATAGGGGAAAGTGGGTTGGTTTTAAAAGTCCAGGTAATTAATTTAATTAAACCTTAGTTAATGTTAGATTATGATAGCATGCTCCTTCTTCCCTTTCTATTTCTACATCTTATTAACTCTGCTGTCTATGTCTTTCCAGTTCCTGTCGAGTGGTGTTGTCAATTGTGTTCTTGTTGTAGTGTTTTTTGTTTTATTTCTACTATTCTGCATCTAAAACTGATCTACTAATTTGCTGTTTTGAACTCAGCCTTTGTCGGAATTATGGGTAACACAAGATCTTACAAACTGCTAGACTGGAATAGTTTCAATTCAGGTATTTTAATGGTCCTTCAGTACTACATATGCTGACAGAAATTATGGCAGCTCAGTGAAGTTTTTAGAAATGTTCCAGATTAAATAGGTTTACTATCAATTCAATCATACAGATATATTCTGCAATACACGTTATAACTCTTGTAATTTCCATTGAGATGCAAAATATAAAGATGAGCTATCTAAAGTGAATTAATCAAAACCACAGCAATACTATAAATTACAAATGGCTTTGTTAGGTTTGTACCTTTCAGAATGATGGCTTTAAATTACAGTTTTGTATCAGGTAAATGATACAGACATTAGCTTTGTAATTAATGAAATATTAATTGTTGTATATAAGTATAAATGACTAGTTTGATAATCTTAAAGTATACTTAAACTTTAATTTTGAATTGGATATATTTAATGTTCTATAAATACTTTAAAAGTCTAACTATTAACATTTTAATTTATAATCCCAGAAGTGTTCCAATTTTGGTAAGTAAGAACATTTTGTAGGATTAACCACTTCATTAGCTTTTTTCCTTTCCCTTTCATGCAAAAATATAATTTTTTAAAGTAATTTTACATATGAATATAGTTTGTACCTTAAACTAAATTAACTTTACAGCTGATGATGTGGTCTAGAGTCAAAGCCAATTATCTTTTTGATAAAGACATTTTCTCTTAATAATATAACTACCTAAATTTTTGTTAAGAAATAAATAATAGAACCATTTTGACTAAGTATCAGAAGTAAGTACTTTGCCTAAAGAATTTTTTCAGGGTCTTTTTTTTTTGTATCAGAAATTATATCTATTTACAGAATAACAGGTACATTAAGAGACTCAACATTTTAGATAATATCCCAAAATCTTTTCAATATTGTAAACTTTTTTTTGTTCTTAGGAGTCCAAGGTATAAGTTCTGATGTAAGTAATGCATGTTTGACTATGAAGTAAATCATGTTCATCTTGCAGATTTACCTAAATTCAGTCTAGTAAACAATCTGAACAGGTCCAACCTTTGCAGATTTAGACTGACATTAACTGGTAAATCTCTAGGGAAATTACCTACTCTCTATTCCTATCCAAGTTTTTGCCAGCATGTTATCTCATTGTTTCAAATTAAAATAATCATGTTTAATGTAATATTAATACTTCATAATTGATTTTCAGTAAGAAGTTAAAAATACCCTGCTGGGTCTATTTAATAAGAATATATCCTTAAAACACAGGCAGATTAGTGTAATGGGAGGAGACAAAGACTAGTAATGTAAGAAAAGGACGTTAAGACAGATAAGTTATTAATAATTTAAGTGATGCCCAAGATGTTTAGTTTGAGATGTATGTTAGATGATAGAACAGTCTTGGAAAGTGGAAAAGACAAAAATTAAATCTTGTACATAATAAAGATTTTGTTCCATGTAAGCAGAGCTACAGAATTTAGCAAGGAGAAACATAGTTGAGGAAGCAGTATATCTTGCCATCATTTAAAAGAACATCAGGTATAAGGGCATGAAAAAAAAAGATGGAAATAAGTTAGAGAATATTGAAAGAGCCTAAGAGATGTTCTTAAAGTAATATGCTCAGGGTTGAGGTACTAGAGTTTTTCTGGTAACAGTTGGTACATTTTTAGATATCAGATTGCTTTTGATATTATTAAGGAAAAACAATTTGGTGATTTTTTAAAAAAATGATATATTTGTTAAATATATTCAAATCACATGTATCTTCTGTAATTAGAGAATGGGTGGCCATTACCATAGAAAATCAAGATTTGCGACAATTTGTTAAAAAAAGTATTGTTGATACAATTTTTGGTAATAATAGAAATTGTTCTTCCTTACTGATTTTCGTAGATTCTCTAATACCATGTATCATATGACGTTGCATCAATTCAACACAGTCTTCCAAGAGAAAAAGAGGAACACTACCACATTTGATATACTTATTAATTAATAAACATTCTTAATTGTGGATATAGGAAAATGTTTTACATCACACAGTAATAAAAGATACAATATATCATATAAGCATTTATTGGAATTTGTCTTCTGCTATGCAATTTATTAGGTAACAGGTATGCAGACATCCTGGATCCCCTTTCACAAAGCTCATATTCTGGGAGGATAGAAAATTTTATAATTGGTTTACTGTGTGGTATGGTGCGATGCAAGACATAGAATTCAGAGGATGGTGTGATTAGCAAGGTAGCAGGGAAGCTGTAGAG